CCTGACATGTGTCACATGTCATATGCCCGGCCATTGTCAGATCACTGCAGCAGGTTCATGGGAAACATGCTCTCATCATCGTCAGAGCTTTGGACTTGTGAATCATCAACCAATGTGGCAGGGATGCTCTCGCAATGACAAGTGGTTGTCTTGACATGGTGTGTCTCATCAGAATCGGCCTCAGTTACAAATGCGTTCAGGCGCCTAAGCTTTGGTCGAGGTTCAGTGTGAGGCTCCTGCGTGCAATCAATGACACCGGACCTTGCCATGCTCGCTAACATCTTGTCGTTGGCAGGTGCAGAAGCTGCATTGTCGAAAGGCTGCTGGAACTTTGGTGTTGGACAGGCCCCCAACACTGCATCAATGTCAGCTGCAAGCTGTCTCGCATGAGGGCAGGCCTGGAGTGAGCGAGTTTGCTGAATTATTTGTTGATCCCTTTCAGTGTTACCCACCTACCTCAGTCAGTGACAAAGCACATTGAATTGATGGGGTTCAGACAGAACTCTCAACGAGCACAAAAATTCATTTGCTTGTCACACCCAGGGTCTGATGCCCAGAGCGACTGCTGGCGCTGTCTCAGGGCTGGCACACTGTACCTCTCAATGTTCCTGACACGCTTTCTGCAGGCCATCACAGTTGGCTGCTGGCAGGATGCGGCAGAGCCAGAACAGAGCCAGAACAGCTATTATTGGCTCTGTCAATGAATGACTGACTGCAAGCCCTAGGGTAATTTCTGTGCTGTGCAGAAACATGACCAATCAACACCAAACCAAGCCCCCAAGTCATGTGTCCCAAAGACATCATGTCATGTGACAACCCAGGTGAGGATGCTGCTGACTGTCAGGCCTTCCGAGCAACCAGCCTGTTGCCCCACGATAGGCAAGGATGACCATGACAACCTGCACAGAGAGTAAAGTAAAGACAGACTGCAAAGGAAAGGCTCATAATCTACTGGAGTTACCTCTAAACTCGCCAAACCTGATTCATCTGCAAACCATTTCTGACCAATCCCTTTTTAAGGGCATGGCTTGGCTTGTGCAACTGTGTCATGTGGCAATTGTCATTTGTTGGAAGTTTTTTTTGCAGAACATACACTACGAAGGCTGGAAAAGAGGAAGCAGGGAAGCTAGCAATGACCAGCGACAGGTTTCTCAAAACCCATTCCATGTCTCGGTCTGGCATGTGACACACATGAACTGCACAAAATGGCCCAATGTTTGGTGACAATGTGCCCAAACAACTTGCTACCTCATCTTGGACTCCGGGTTTGCTGGTAGAATCTGTCCATATTGTAAGCCAACAAAGGTCAATGCACACATCAAGGCCCTAAGGGCAAGGGCCACCTGAAAGCCTCAAGCCCCACAAGACTGGGCCCCCCCGCCTTGTGGAAGTCAAGTCACTCAAGCCCGCTCAAGACAAGTTCGACTCATGCCACATACCCTGTCACATGCAACATGATATGACATGTCAACTGAAAACTGAACACATTTCAACACCTCACACCTCCCAAGCGACATTTGCCCGAGTGGGCAGCTCAGGCTACCACATGAAAGTCCATCCTAAAGCCAGGCAAGTGCGATTTGCAAACGAGCTGACAAGAGAAACCGCCAGCAAAGTGACAAACAACTGGGCAGGCACCTCAATGACTAGTGTTCAACATCCACATGCATCAAGACTGCAACTGACAAGCCAATTTACTACTCCTACATACTGAAGTTTATGTGGCTTGCCTGGAAGCGGATTATGTACTTGCAGCAATTGCAAACAAGTGTTTAAGATCTGAGACATCCCAAAGCCAAAGCCAAATGGTTAAGCAAGAACTTTGATGCACTCTTCACAGAAACCAAGTGTTGTTTGCTTGTAAGCCACGCCACCTTGTAGGTAAACCCCTTGCACCCTTGTGTTACTCATATTTGGGTCAGACAATTCAAGGAAGTGCCTTGTAAGTCACACAAGCCTCAGGACAAACATTCAACGCTGGCAAGCAAAGCTGCCTCAGCGCATTCACATACTGGAACATGAGCGTGGAGCAGGACTGTAGTTATTAGTTCACATTAGGACCCCTTAATGCAAGCAATGCCTCCAGCAAGGTGAGCTATGACCACACAAAACAAAGCTGAGCAGGCAGTGTATTATATTCCTGCAAGTTGGTAATGACAACTCAGAGCAGCTGCTTACAAGAAGTGGCGTAGCAACATCGAGCTGTTGGCCCTGCAAAGCCTTTCCCATGTGCAGCACACATGACATGAAGTATCTGTAGCAAGTAGCCATATGACATTGTCACTGCATCGCTGCTGCTGCTGAGTCTTGCACCGCACTTAGCCAGACCTGGCGAGCAGTTTGCAAAGTAGAAAAGGGTCCTTGCAGAACAAACAATCGATCAACATAGGATGCCCCCAAACAGACTCACCGCCACCAAGATCGCATTGATCCAAGGTTCATGTGACACATGAAATGTGTTGGCACTAGTAGTCAGTTGTTTTTTTCGCACCAAGCCAAAAGTCCCTTTCTGTCACCCAAGGGCACTTCCAAAAACACACAGTCACATGTCTTGCGACTCTACTCAATTGCTGCTACTGTCAGCAGATGCAGGCGCAGGGCGAGACAGCTCTGGCTCTGCCGGGATCATGAAGAAGCCACTCTGCTTAAATGAGATCGTGCCATCGCTGCCTGTCATGTCTAAAACGGTGAAGCAAGACATGTCAATGTCGCAAAATTGAATTGAGCAGGCACTTGTTTCCCAAACTGGAATGCTCAACATTGATGACTTAACATAACCATCAGTGGCAAGCATCCTAGCAAAGTGAAAGTAGCTACTACCCTGCAAGGCACTGATGACCCACACATCATCCGAATCGCCAACGCTCGGGACAATGTGGTAGAACCGTCCACACACTGGAGCAACAACATCAAAGACCGCGTCCTGGCAACAATTGTCCATACTCACTGACTATTACTGGCAACACAAGCCGCCAGCCCAAACAGCATGTTGCTGAGACACAAGTCATGGCATCATAAGGCAAGAGCCAGAATGGTTACCTGGCCTACTAAGACAATCTCCAGCAGAAAACTGCTCCTGACGGTTCAAGGCGTCGACCAGCTGCTGGCCATCGAGGTCAGGATTCTGCTGCGACATCTTGAGCAAGTGGGTTGCCATAAACTTCTTTGTTTCATCCCACAAGTGCCTAAGTGTGGTCTGCTGACACAAACATTTCGTTATTAAGTCTGTTCAATGCAAAGCAGATGAGTTTCTTGTCACAGTGTGGGCATGCATTCAACAGCACATGCACAAGGAGCAGTTACAAGCTGACACAAATTTGTAGAAACATTCAGCTGTGTGGCGAGAGTGTCACATTTTGCGGGATCTCGTCCATGGGAACTTTGATGCCGCCATCCATGCTTAGTTCACAACATGTTTGGTCTGATGTTTCTAAGATCGCCAGCAACACAAACCCACATTGAATCATGTGTGAGCCTTGTGGGAAACAGCTAGCTTGTTTTACAGAACACACTTCAACCAACATTGATGCCACATGATGCAATCAACCTGCATGTTTTGCATCATGATTCATGATCACACTGTGCAGCCCCAAACAAATAAAGCAAGGCACTGCACTGCGCCGCGAGGGAACTGCTCATTGGCAGAAAAATGCCTTGTCACAAATGCCAGCCTTGGCCACTGTGGACGTCGCAGAAGCATTCTCTACTTGATCCCAAGAAAACAAGTAGCAGCTGGAACATTTGACATTATAATGAGGGGCCTACACAAACAGAAAACAAACTAAGGAGTGCACTTGTCCATGTGCTGCATGATGCTGCCATGTGCAGACTCAAGCTGGGCCTTCAGCAAGGACTCCATGTACGCCGCCGAATCACTAAATGCATCACCGCCCTCACCAAGCACTGCAAATGCACTCAGCCTTGCATGCTCACCAAGAGCACTTGCATCAGCAAACACAGGCCAGACACCAGGGCAAAGTGGCTGACTGGGCATCACTGCAAGCGCAACTTCCAAACACAAGCGAAACAGCACAACCAGTGGCAGAGCCCCAAAGCTGCAGCAATCACACAAAGGCAGTGCATGTGTTCATGTGTCACATGACATCAAGTGCCAGGCATTCCCTGTTTTGCCTTAAACAGGCCAGAGATGCCTGCCTCTTCTGTGCAGAGCACATTCTGAATATTGCGCGAGCCAAGAAGCGGGCAATGCTAGGCAGGTCTAGCCACAAACAAAGGCCCGGCCGATCAAAGCTATTGGGATTTTAAGGGCGCAGCCCGCTTGAGGACAAGTGCCAGCCAATGCAAGGAATCAAACAAAATCCCAGGGCCAAACAACGCAAATCCTGCTAGTTGCTGATAGTGTTGTTTGCTGCCCATTTTATGTGACAGCACATGTCTCCAAGCAATGCTTCACTCAGATTCACAGCTCAGTTCCACTTCTGTGCGTTCTGTAATCCCCTACCTGGGCCTGTTCCTCTTTCTTCATTTCCCTACAAAAACACATATTCCAAACTCCCCTCCCCCCACTATTCTACACTTTGCTTTCCACATCTATATTGCGCCCCCCACATCTCCTCACTTATTCAATTGGTTTTCTATCTTGTCCAATGTTTTTCTCACTTTATCCCACTTTATCCCACTTTATCCCACTTTATCCAACTTTATCCCACTTTAACCCACTTTAACCCACTTTAACCCACTTTAACCCACTTTATCCCACAATTGCACATTTTATCCCATAATTTCACATTTTTTCACATAAAACATGTAGGCCCAAAACCTCACTGATCTAAACCCTCAAGGATCCAACCTCAATAGCGAGGTTAGTGAAACATCCCAATCCCCACCAAAATAGAAACCCAACATGGGTGGTGCACCAACCAAAATGGTATCCCAAAACGGTTTTGACAACCTCCAGATCTGCATCAGCTGCATGCTGATGCATTTCACCATGATTTCCACTGGGCCTTTTCCCCAATTCACCCAAAACCATCTCGGGCCTCGTAGGGCCAGCGGAAGATCCGCACGCTGCCTCCGCCCCAACAACCCCAACCTTTGCCGAATCCCTCGCTTGAAATTGTCGGCGAAGAGTTTTTGTCACCCCACCCCGGTTGCGAAATCTGCTCCCCTATCAAAAGCTGAACTTTTAGTGGTTTACCCATTAGTTGGCAAACTAACATCCAAGCAAAATGCACCAAAGCCACCCTCGTACTGGACACATGACAAGATCGGTGTAGTCGGCCCCAAGTAACATCTGTCAGAGCCATGTCTGTTTGATCGCCTCGAGTCAACCCAGGAATTGTTTTACCGTTTTTTGGGCAGAGTCCCAAATCAGGCTGCGTTGTTCCTCTTGATTTCCCTGGTTTTCTCAAACAAACACATACACACACACACACCCAAGTGGGCTTGCTTTGTCTCAGTTGCCTCAAGGACCTGGAACTAAAAGGTTCACCTTTCGGGGCCAGACCAAAAAGAAGAAGAAACGAAGTCCAAAGGTCGATTCGCTTTGAAGAACTGAGTTCTTGAGTCTACCAGATGTTTGGTTGGGTTTCTGGCCTTGTCGAGCCGAAGAACCACCTCGCACACCTCGCATCCGCGTCGCTGGCGACTTCGCCGCAAGCGCAGGCCTTGTCGAGTGCCAGCCAAGAGAAGGCCAACAGCAGCTGCCTCGACTCCGATCCGATCCGATCCGATCCGACCCGGTCCAGCTCTGATGGGTCAAAATCCGAAAATCGGTGGGGTTCCAGACCTCCGATTCAATCCAAGCACAAAAAATAGGAAGCCGAAAATGGGTGGTGAATTCACCTACCATAATGGATCCATTGGTTTTGACCACCACAGCCATCTGTCTCCACATTGGGGAACCTCTGCAATGGGTGGCTTCCTGTTGGCTGCCATTCCAAACTTTGGGAGGCAACCAAAGCCCCCCCCTTTTGCACCACCTCTAGGAAAGGTTTACAGAGTGGTCAGAATTGTGGAGCAGTAACTCAACAATCCAGGGGTGCCTGTACATACCCCTTTTACATACCCGCACCCAAAAGGCCTGCCAATGTTCATACCATATCCTCTCCCCTAAAAGGGGTATATACCCCTTATATGGGTTGGAAGCCCTGGAAGCCAAGGAACCGGTATGAACAAGGGCCATGTACTTTAACCCTCAGAAACTGACATGCAGTTGAGCTCTGCGAGAGCTATGCCCGAGGCAAGGCAGCACGATGTGTACAGGTTCCGCTTGTTGTCCGCGTGGATCTGGCCGGCACACAGGCGAATGTTGACCCATTGTTAGGGGTGTGTTCCCTCCAAAAGTGGTCTGAATCCCCAGGGGGTTGTTAGTCCGGGGTTAACATTAATGGGGACCTGAAATAACAGAGAAACTTGAGGACACCCCAAAGGGCAAACAAACATTGGCAAAGAGGCTAATGGGCACCCCAGAATGATAAATCCTTGGTTGAGTAATGCGGGGTGCTCTCACTTTTAGTGGGGATTCATCCCTTTTGGAGGGAGCGCTCCCCTGTTGATGGGAAGGGGTTTGTAATCCGGGTCAACATGAGCTAGTTGTGCGAATGTTATTTGAGTGCACTGCAACCGGCATTTAATCGACCAGGAACCTATTCATTCTCCCGGATTATTAGCGACACATGGGCAGCATTGTTTTGACACAAATAGTGATGCCAAGTTCTCCGCGGATGTGCTCACCCGGGGGCTGACGACATTTCGGCGCTGAAAGAGGCGCACTTGAAAAAGGCAAGTATGGGCCTCCAAGCCCCAAACCCATTTGGGAAGGCTTCTTTAGGGCCGCGTATGTCTGTGTGTGTGTGTTTGTGTTTGCTTTTCAGGGCAAAACAAACCGCCGCCATTTGTTGCTACCTGGAGCCTGCATGACCCTTGAAAAATGGGGCCATTACCCCAAACCTAAGGCTTTTTCCAGGGGTCATGGAGAGTCTACTAGGTCCTCCAGCAGAGAGGTTAGAATAAGGCTACCCTTTTTTCTGTAGTCTATTTTTAGTAGGGGAACCCTACCAACCAAAAAAAGGGGTGAGAAAGGGCACCTTGGGATCCTAGGTCTAGGTCCCCGTTTTCGACACCAGCTCCCGTTTCTTCTCTGCGAGCAACGCGCGCCTCGAAGTGGGGAGAACTGAGGTGCCCCATGACCTCGCGAACCCATTGGAAGCAGCAGGTTTCCTTGACGGGTTGGTGACCCCAGCTGAGAAACGGGAATTGGTCCCTCCGTTGCTCAATTCAGTCACTTGCTGACACCATGCTTATGGCTTAGGGCACGAAGGGCACGAAGGCAATTGGCACGGCCCCATTTGGTGCGTACAACCACCATAGAAGTGATGTGAGCCACTTGCTCAAAACCCGGTACTAAAATGGTCGACCCAGAACCATGCTTCAAGAATTAAGAAGGCGGCCGCAACTATTTCTGGCTGGGACTGCCCCTTACTAACCTTCATCTACCCGGGCTTTGTTTGTGACCCATTTGCTCATAAGCATCGCGGGTGCTCCGTGTGGTGGAGGTGTTTGTTTTTTTTACTACCCCTGGTTTTTTTCCTAACCCTGGCTGTAATTGGTGGGTTGGTTGGTTGGTTGTTTGGCTGGCTGGCCGCATCCCCGGCATCACCAAGGACCTGGGTTTGCCTAGGCTCTGATTGGGTGGCAGTTGGGAGTTGCTGGGGGCTGGTTTAAGTTTGGGGGGTTTGGCTGGCTTAGATCTTCATGAGGGTGGGTCTTGGGGTGGTTTGGGGTTGATTTAGGCGAAGCGAAGGGCTGACATCCAGGCTGCTGTTGGGCGGGTTTAGGGTTGACTTTGACTTGGAGATGATTTGTGTTAGGTGTGCTGCTGGTTCAGCAGCGGCTTTAGAGTTGCTTTAGGGTGTGGTTAATGGTCTAGTTTTTGGGTCCAGCCAGCCAGCCAACCAGCCAGCCAACCAACCAACCAACCAGGGCTAAGGGGGGACCAGGGCTAGGGAAAAAAAACACCATCTCCTGCTCCGTGTGGATCCCCGAAAGCTATGTTTGCCCGGCCGGGTGTCTGTCCGAAGCTCCCACAAAAAAAATAATCGACGCACGTAAACACACACACACACAACTCTCAGATGTTCAGTCAGCCTAGGAATAGGGAACCCTTTTCAAGGTTGACCATGTTTAGTGGGAGAACAACACACACACACACACACACAAAGGGAGTTTTGAGGGTGAACGATCGGCCCCCTGAGCAGCGAAAGCTTGCCTGCACCTACCCCAAAATGGTACCATTGGTTTCGACCCACAGCCATATGTCCAGATTCTGCTTACTTGTCAACCCCAACATAGTTTTGGCGGAGACTCCCGTGGATGGTAGAAAAGGAAGCCCTTCTTCTCGTGGTTGCTGGTGTTGCTGTTGACCCCTCTGCAAACAGCTTTTTTAACTTTTGTGGGTTTAGTGGAAAACCCCCATGATTTCAACCAAAAAGTTAAAGTCTAAAGATCCAACCCAATAATATTCGAGAAGGGAACGATGTCCCTACCCAAGACTCCTGGTAGCTCCCTAACAGCTCCCTCTTACGTATATTTGGACGCCCCCAGCTCTTGGCAACCACATCTTGGCCCGGAAAGGGTCTCTGAGCTTGCTGCACTCAAGTGGCCCTCTGGCTGGAGGCACCCCACTGCCAACCTGAATCGCGGTCCAGGATCACTTGAGGGTCCCAAAACCCGAGCAAACGTTACCTCCATTTGCGGATACGTCCCCCGGAAAAAGTAAACACATATGTCCACTAGGGATAGATTCCCTTTAAAACCAACAGGTCAAAAACAAAAAACACTTAAGCAAATGGAAGGTTTGGTACCAACCTGGTGGGGCTTGAAAAAGGGCTCGCGCAGCTCCCATGCCAGGCAAGAACCGAACCACACACTCAAAGGTATTGTGCATGTTTTTTTCCTTCTTTTTTTTAGACAAATAATGGCCAGAAGGGGGGGGTTTGGGCACACGGCCGGCCATGGGTCAAAACCCCGTGCCCCCAGTGAACATCCCAATCCCAACTAAAATAGACTAAAATGGGTGGTGCACCTACCCCAAAAGGTAACATTGGTTTTGACCCACAGCCACACACTCTGCAAACATTCACCCCCATGATTTGCCTCGATGTTGCATTTCCATTTGAGGGAGCAGGTGACATTGCAAAACTCGAAATGGTCGGGGGGTAACCTCCCACCCCCCAAAACAAAAGGCTACTTTAGGAGGAAAATGGTCATCCAGAGAACCCGATTAAAAAAAAAAGACCACATGCGCTGGGGGCAGTGGCTGCTGGCGGGAGTCAAAGTGCAGGTCAGTGTAGCTAGCGTGCTTGTTCACCTCGGCGCCGGGTTTGGTCAGCTCTTCCTTCACTCAGTTGTTCAGGGACCCTGGAAAAAAGGGAACCCTTTTTGGGGAAGACCATTTTTAGTGGGCCAGCCACTAAAAAAAGGGAAAGGGTGCCACTGAACAACTGAGTTCAAGATACTGCCACCAGAAACCGATAGATAGACAAGCTGACCAAAGCCATCCGCCAATCTGCAAAACCGATAAACAGGGGACCCAGAACCCATATCCTGGTAGTCCGGGACGTCTTTTAAGTTCTACTCCACACCTGGACATGTTTCCAGCAGTTGCAACCTGGTGGGGCAATTTTGGGTACCCCAAAGCACATCCTTATGGCTTTTGTCAGGATCTGGGGGCACGAAGGCAAATGGCATGGCCCATTTGGTGCGTAAAACAACCCTATAAGTAAATGGTCTACCCAGAACCATGTAAAGAAGTAAGCAGCGGCCGCAGCTATTTCTGGTTGGGAGTATCCCTTACTAACCTTCATCCACCCGGGTTTTGAACCAGTGGCTCATGTGGGCGCCCATGTGGCCATGGGTCAAAATCCCGTACCCGCAGTGAACATCCCAATGCCCCCACTAAAATAGGTTCTAAAACGGGCGGTGAATTCACCTACCAAAATGGGATCCCAAAACGGTTTTGGCCACCACAGCCACATGGGTGTGGCTCAGAATGAAACAGGAGGAATTACGCGCAGGTGTTGGCCCATGTTTCCACGTACCGATCGGGCAATCCATGTTGGAATTCTCCGGTTTCTTGAGCCATGCGGGTTTCAGCGGCCACGGCACCTGAGACTCCCACGTGCTCGAAGCACCGCTCCCGGCCGGCCGTGGTGAGATCCCAGCCTCGGCGGGTTGGCTGGCCTTGAGCTTGGCGGAAGGGAAACCAGAAAAACCACCAAAAGGCTTGGTTGCTGCTCACCCCTCTGCAAAAAAATAATAATAATAATAATAATAATATAATAATAATAATAATAATAATAATAATAATAATAATATATATATATGTACCAGTCCCACGTACCCCCCCCCCCCCCCCCAATGGTATGGTCCCCCCACTCCCCCGCATCATCCGCATCTTGGGGATGATGCTGGCAATGCTGGGGATGCTGTCCAGTACCGTGCGAGCCCTGCAGCTTCGGTCCCAGACCCCCTTTTACCCCGTGAACCAACACCCCCGCACCTCTCGCAACATCCTACCCTAAACCAAACCACCCTGCAACCCCTCCTTAACCCCAACCCTAAGCCTAAATCAACCAAAACCCAAACCCACCCGAAACCCACCGCAAACCAACCCTGAACCAACCCTGAACCAACCCTAAACCAACCCACCAAGCCCAAACCAACTCCGAACCAACCCCAACCACCCAACCACCCAACCACCCAACCACCCAACCACCCAACCACCCAACCACCCACCCAACCACCCAACCACCCCACCACCCCACCACCCCACCACCCAGCCCACCCCCCACGGGGGGGGGGGGTTGGCCCAACCACCCAACCACCCAACCACCACCCCACCACCCCACCACCCCACCCACCACCCACCCACCCCACCCCCACAGGGGGGGGGGGGTGGGGGGGGGAGGGGGGGGGGGGTCCACGGCCTGGAACATATATATATAGTAACCTTTTGTGGGTTTAGTGCAAAAAACAAACAAAGAGTTCAAGTCTAAAAAACCAACCCAATACCAGTCACAAAGGGAACCATGTCCCGACCTAGAACTCCTGGTAGCTCCCTAACGGCTCCCTCTCACGCACATTTGGATGCCCCCAGCTCCCTAACGGCTCCCTTCCAACCACCAGCTAGATATTCACAGCATAAGGTTCTGGCAAATTTCCTTGTGTAGAATCAGGCTGGCGTGCAATAGAAATGGCGGCAATCCTGCTCTCTGACACATGTCTAACATTGACAACTGCAAATACTGAGGACGACAGAAGCACAGAAATTCGATGATGAGGATCACGATAGCGACAACAATCATGACGCGAATGACGACGACGACGACGACGACGACGACGACGATGATGATGATGATGATGGCGGTGGTGGGGGGGGGGGGGGGAATACGATGATGATGACGACCTCAATACGGCAATGATGATGACGACGTCGACGAGGATCAGGGAGAGGATAAGGATGACAATAATGATGAACACAAGGATGAGGACAACAATGATGAATATGACCAGGACGAGGACGGCGATGACGACAGCTACAATGATCGTGCTGTTGCATAAAGTGCTAGCCTCTCCTCACTTGCCCAAAGGACCTGAAAATAAAAGGTTAACCTTATGGAGTCATGACTAACACTTGACCAAACGCGGAAAACCGAAAGGTCAACAGGTCGGCTTTGGGCAAGTAAGTCTTACTTCACTGAGACCGCTGCCATAAATGGCTCCATGTGGAGCCAAACCGCTGGAGAGTAACATCCGGTCGCCCTGACCGGCACGACTTGGGAGCGCGCTTGGAGACTCCCAGAGCCGGCTGGGTTCCTTTTCTAGGCTGGTTACTGGAAAACAAAGGGACCCCAAAAAAGCAAACAAAAACAAAAAGGGGAGCTAATTCTGGGGAAGTTTTGTGGTCACTTGGACTATGCAAAACCCAACAGAAGCTGAAGAGAATCTGGGGATTCTCTTGCTTGCGAGACACGGGGCAAGGCAGCCAAATAGATCATGGGTCCAGCTTACTTTGGCACCTGCAACACACGCTTGCGAAACATGATCCTTATGATACCAAAGTTCTTGATTCCCTCGCCCATGAAAGACTTTTCGTCACTAAGGGGACTCCTTTGCCGCCCTTGCAATTTCGACCTTGTGGGGAAACCTGGGGCCGCCCTGACTTGAAGGGTGCTGGATCAAAAAAACATATTGGAGGGATTCCCGTTATTTCTTTTCTTAATGCTCATCCCTGATTTGAAAGGGACCCCTGAAACCAAAAGGGAGACCTTCGTGATTTTGCCTCAGAGAAGAGGACCTGGTTCACCACGGAGACATGGCCGCCCCCACGGCCGCTGAACCTAAGCCCAGAGGGAGATGGGGTGGGGTTTCTTAACTGCTATTGGGCAACGGATCTTTAGACTTTAACTTTTTGGTTGAAATCACGGGGGTTTTCCACTAACCCCCCACACCTTTTGCAGGGGGTTCAACAGCAACCAAGGTTTCCCCTTGTTTCCACGGCGCAGGCACTTGGATGTATAAACAAGAAAAAAAAGTCGCAGGCACTTGGACTTGTGTTCAAACAACTTGGTATAGGTGATAAGTGCGAAAGGGGTTGTTGGCTTACAATTGGGTATAACCTACTCTAGGTTGAACATCCAAGCATGTCAGCCATGATTCCCTTAAGAACCCCCAGGGTGCGTGACCAAACCAATTGGATTGCTTCGACCATGACCCCTCACATCGGATGGTGAGCTTCCATTTCCTGTTGAATATCTGGTGAGTCTCCCCACCTTCCGTTGGCCGAACATTCACCGTTGCTCAAATCAGCAGCGCCCAAAATGAATGGCTTTCGGTTCCACCAACGTGGTCGTGACGTTTACATAGCTCTTAGTATCACCACAAGAAGGCCGGGTAGTAGAACCACCTACCAAGGGGGCCAAAAGTTGGGCGCTGATAATATGGGTGGTTCTCTGGGGCCCATCCCTGCATTCTGGTTTGGACACTACACCGCTGGGGCTTCTTGGTTGAAAGGGATTCAAAGAGAAAAAAACACTTGGCTTTTGCGCTCTTGGCGTCCTCCTCCATTTGGAGATGACGTGTTTCAACGCCATCTACCAAGGGCAGATTCCTTGGTGTGTGGCTGACGTGTTTCAACCAAGGGGAGGTTCCTCGGTTTTTGGCGCCTGGGAAAAAAACGCACTGGCAACGGTGAATTCAGAGGCCCCTGCTTCAAAAGACCCAACTTGCGGCCGTCAAGGCCGATATGCATTGAGTCTCCGGGGATTTTGGGACAAACCACCGCATACTGTGGACGAGATCCGTTCGCACCACCTAAGAAACCATGGTTGAAACCATTGTTTGTTGATATTTACAGGGGAATCATGGTTCCAGGATTTCTTAGGTGGTGCAGGATTTCGCAACCATTCACAGTATCAAGACAATTCTTCCTGATGGTCCCATATTGTAAAGGCTTTGCTACCCGAGAGGGCAGATTTCGTGTCGTCCCAGCCGAGTGGGGGACAACCTACCAAGCAACTATGGAGAACGCCATTGTTCCAAGTTGGTGCCTCATGAAGAACAAATCACGTGCTCTTCCAATTGGATGATCAACAACTCACGAAGGAGTGCAATGACAGAATCAAATGATATCACACAAATAAATCAACATGGCCAAAAGTGGAAGGAGGTGACGGCAAGTTTCATCATCAGCCTGGCGCTCTCAAAGCACAGTGAATGCAAGTGACACCAGACATAAAAACAGCCCCGGCTTGAATCCAACAAAAAGGGGGGAATAGAGCCTCCCAAACGAAAACGAAATATAACTATTAAAAATCTCTTTTTGGGAGTAGGCATGCCTTGCTAAACCTTTCGCAGCAAAAAACAAGCTGTGTGTTGCACACCAGGTGGAGCTTCCGTGGTTGCAAAGCTTTCTGCCAGAACTGGGCAGCAGACAGGTGCAAAACAACTGCTCGCCATGGATCGATCAAGGCCTCAGTGACTCAGAGCAGGTTCCAGGAGCCCTCACAATTTGATGCGACGTTGATCCTTGTCGACACCCGACAAGGAACTGAGTCATTCTCAAGAACCATGTGAAGGATGAAGGCGGCCGCAGCCATTGATGGTTGGGATTGCCCTTTCCTAACCTTCATCTACCCGGGTTTTGAACCAGTGGCTCAACTAAGGTGCTGCGAGCACCATCGTTTGTGTTCCATCGGACGCCAAGCATCCGAAAGTGTGATACTCCTGCCGAGACTTCGGGAACCCGTTCGGCCCTGAGCTCCGGGCAACGTCATTATCTGAGGAGACTGCGAGCATGCTCCTGGCATGAAGCAGTTGCCAGAAGCTCGAGGCCGACATTTTTCATCATGGCGGCGCACCCACTGTTGGAATAAGCGACGCTGCCGGGATTCTTCAACGCTAAGTCCTTAGCAGAGACTGATCCACACAAACCCAAAGTTACTCTTGGTTGCTGTTAACCCCCCTGCAAAAAGTTTAACTTTTTGGGGGTTGAGTGGAAAACTCCTTTATTTCAACCAAAAAGTTAAAGTCTAAAGATCCGTTGCCCAATAGCAGTCAAGTACAGGCCTGCACGTTTTGGAGCTCGCTTACTTGCCCGGAGGAGCGAAGCTCTGTGGCTCGTGACAGGCTGGGGCCGCCGACAAACTGAGTTCGACTCGCTTGTGCAGGCCTTCGGGTCAGGAAGGAACAGGAAACCGTCATGAAATCAGGTCAATCTGTCGGTTCATTTGAGCCGAAGGATCCTTTTTGGGACAGTGCAGTGATTCCAGTTCCCATGGTTGGTGACCAGGGGAAACTGCCGTTCGAAAACTCAAGGGAACATCTCTGGTTACCTACTTTGATCGGCACGAGTAGTCCAGGAGCGAAACCGAAAACCGAACACCGAAGCTCCAACTGAGAGCATTGGGGGGATGAACCTCCGGTTCGAGTTCGCTTCATTGCACCTGCTGTGTGTGCGCGCCTTGTTGAGGGTGCTCATGTTTTTTGGGGATGGTTTTAACTTCTCGGGAAACCAAAGGGGAAAGGAAGGCACTGTTTTTGGGGCATGTATTGGTCACAAACCATTGTTGGCTATAGATGTGGATTTGGCTCAAAACAGGGGACCCTCCAAATTGGCGGGACTTGTTGTTGTTCCCCCCATTTAATAAACCACCCCAAAAAAGGGTACCCCAAACACACTCGTCATCCATGTATCTTTGCCTGAAAACGAGCGAAATGCCGATGCAACAACTTCACTGGGGGACGTCTGAGCGAAGCTGCAACATGCCAGGGCTGCGGGCAAACTAGAGGGCCAAAAAGGGTGAACATAGGCTCAGTCTCTGGAACCATGGAGAACATCAGGCATTGTACACCTGTTTTTCCGTCCCCAGGGCCCCAAACCTGTTTCTTGATATTCAATCGAAAACAACAACAGGCTCAGGGTGCTCTTGTTTCTGGTTGCAAGAAAGATCGCACCGGGTGCACGACGTCAAATGGAAGATGCGCAAGATGTCCTGAAGTCCGAATGAAGTGGCGAATATGTGCACATGCGCAAATGACACAGGTTGGCCATCCCCTTTCCATTTAGAGAGCTTGTACTATGGCACAGCCTTTTTGTAAGCAATGGGACATGCTTACGCCTCCACACGCAAGATCTGGCAGGAGTTTGCTACAACACATCCAAACAAGCACAGTAACCTAAGCTTCATCTATGCAGATTTGATCGGGGCGAATGTCAGCTTTGGATTAATCCGGAGCATAATCGGGAATCAGGGGTGGTTCCCCTTTCAGTGCAGGAATAAATCATTCAAACAGGATTCCTGAAATTAGTACGGTCCTCCAACATATTCCGAAAATGATCGACAAGACATGACAATCCATAGTGCCTTGTATCGCCCTGTAGCCCGCATTCCCAATCCAAAGACCAGCCTCCAGGATGACGGCAACTTGGAAGCCCATGGGATGCCTTGGGCATGGCGGGCTGGCGGGCTAGGTGGAAACTCTACACCCTGCAACAATTATGGAAGCTGACATTGGAAGACGAACGCTGGTTCAGGAAGAATGCCCGTCCCCCGTCCACTTCTGTGATTGTTACGCCGCAACTCGCTTTACGTCCAGAACGGGGTGTTGAAACCCAAATGGGCGAATCTCGCCATTTGCTTTGACCCAACTGTAGTAAGTGCCTGTCAAATAAAACAATCATATATGCCTTGGGACATCAAACCGACCAAGCAAGGAGGTCAGACCTTGTAAGAGCCCAGCACCTGGGCTCCTTCAGAGCCCAGTAAGAACCCGAACCGCTCCAGCGATTCAACCCGGCGGTTTTTGTACACGTCCCGCTTCACGCGTGGCCCGAAGAGGCAAGCGCCAACTTGGCCCTTTCAACCTGCAAGCCGCTTCGCCGGCGCCCGTCCGTTTTTCATGGCGCGAGCTCACAGGCCGACTGTGGACACTTCGCAGCTCCATCAACTCATCGCACGGCGCCACGGCCAGCCTTCCCTGCGCTCAACTTTGTGTCGTCCTGCTTCGCGCCCAAGGCCAGGCCAGGGCTGGCTACAAAGAAACGCAATTGTCCGCTGGCCCTCACAAAGTCAACTGCGAAGTCTCGGTAAGCGTGCATCAAACCATGATGGCCTGACGCGTAAATTGTATTCTTCAACTTTGGATTTCCGTGGCCCTTCCCGGTCCAAGTATGGGTTTGACTCGATTCGAAAGGAACCACTATAAGAACCAACATTCACGGACCACCAAAAGGTGGTTGAAGTGGACCCGATGACAAACAGGAGGGAACCCCTTCCCCTGCGACACATTGCGGCCAAGGCACACTGCCACTGAGGTGGCACATTCATATGGAGACACCTAGGCATCAAATAAATTGGGCCCATTCACATGGGGGTGGGGTGGGGGGTGGTGGGGGCGGGGGTTCCATTGACTCAAATGATTTTGTCTGTTCTGTTCAAAAGCAATCATTTGGATACACTCAGATTTCCCCGTTTCAGGCGGGAGCCTGGGTTTGATTCGTCATCCAATTTTGAAGGGAAGCCCATCTAAACAAAAGCAAACAGGGCACCGCAAGAGGTCCATACTCTTGCGAAGGAAGCAATCCCCGTGGCTCTGGTATTCGTGTCCTCGGTCTAAGCGGACCAACTTGCAAACCTCCTTTTGATGGGCGTGCATTGGCGGGGTCATGGCCCTTAGGGAGGAGAAACGTTCAACTCCTCTTGGGAGTTGAGCTTAGCCCTTTCTCCCTAGGGGGTTCGGGGATGACGGACATGCGGCTCCGAATCGCGTTCATCTGGTCCACTGGGCAGGACCCCGACCCTCACGGGCCCTCAAAAACAACCCGTTTGGAGGGTCCAAAAACAGTCGGGACCTTTAGGGCTGGTGGTGTAGTCCCAGGGCCAAAATGGGTAGCCTATTAGCTGAGGGTCCGCTCCTGGGCGAGGCAACAAATGATTTTGTTTCATGTGTGTATCCTTTGGATGAAAAGGACTTGGGTTGTCTTGAAGGGACGCACACACAAACAAAAGGAAGCACCTCCCTAAGGCCCTAAGGGTTGATCCATCGTTCTTTCAACAACCAGCCTTGAAGGGTTGACCCCCGCATCTTCTGCCATCCCCCATACAGTCAACTTCATTGTAATCCGGAGGACCGGTCAGGAGTGGGAGCCACTCTTGTAGTATATTCTACTATAGGGGTTGCTCTGACTAGGGTCCGAACTGATCCGAGACTGTTTCAAATGTTCAAGACTGAATGCAAATAATTCTTCGTATCCATATCACATACCCTATACCACAAAAAATCAATCAACTACTGCAATGTTATCATCATCGTACTAGTATCATATCAGAAACGACTGCTTGGTTGCTGTTGACCCCCCTGCCAAAAGGTTTTCACTTTTTGGGGGTTTAGTACGGAAACCAAAAAGTTAAAGTCAGATCCGTTGCCCAATAGCAGTCAAGATTGCATTTGTATATCATAATTATTATCACCTTATCATATCAAAAATGACTATACCACATAAATCAATCCAACTATGGTGTCTACGGTAAACGATGGAGCTTGTATGAACCCAACCATTGTTTGTTCTGGTGGTTTGCATATCACCTTGGGACACAGAGCTCCCCATCCGCCTGCAAGCTCAACTCCGGGGTGAAGCCCATCTGCGCCTGGAAAAAACGAGAGAGAGAGAGAGCGAGAGAGAGAGAGAGAGAGAGAGAGGCGCGCGAGAGATTTCCTTTTTTCGCCGCCTGGGTCCCCTTGGGGTTGACAGGTTTTTAGTGTTTGTTTATTGCTTGTTTTTTCAGGAACGCCTGGGGTTCAAACCCTCAAATCTGAGCAATCAACAAAATGCCCGAGAAATAGCCCGCGTGGGGTTTCGGGGCTCTGGGAGACGGCGTCGAGCCTCCTGCTCCTCCGTGGGGTAGTTCCACAGCTTCAAGGTCTTGTCCTCGGGAAGGAGAGGTTCGGTTCACGCGGGGTTTCAGGCGTGAAACCCTGGAACGGGGTCCCTGGATCCGGGTGAATTATAATCCTGTGGATGGACGAAATCCTGCACCACCTAAGAAGCCATGGAATGATGATTTCCCTGTAACAACCAACAAACAAGATTGTCCCATGTTTTCAGAGTGGTGCGAAATGGATTTCGTCCATCAGTATTTCCCCAACCTGAAATAAGGTGAAAAATTGGGGGCTATTCCCAACATAAACCACCATTCGGGGTGAACTCGGTCCTGTGAGGCCGTTCTAATTCACCCAGCTGGGATGCCCATTTTGGATCCAAAGTGGCAAGAATCCAACATCGAATTGGGAGATCTGTGGAGGACGTCCGGTGACCCCAGATCCATCTCCTGGATCTTGACGGAGTTTCCCCCTATGGGTGACCCTAGGGTTACATCCAAGCTCGGTTGCGAAATCTGCTCCCCTGCTAAAAGTGAATAACTTTTAGTGGTTGAATGGAACACCCACTAGTTGGCAAACAGTTTCAGTCCTAACATCCCTTGGCAACATGCACCAAATCAACATGACGACTCAAGGTCACCCCTCGCTGGGACCAACGGATCGCAACTCTTCCACATCCCGCCTCTGCCACACTAGCGATGAGGTGGCGACCTGGTGTTGTTCCGCGATCTATCTACTTGAGGCGCGGAGATGCATCATGTCACAACTCGAGGCCCCTCTTCAAGGTACTGTGGGTGGACGAAATCCTGCACCACTTTAAAACCATAGCAAACCATTGTGGGTTGGTATGTACAAGGGAAGCATCACCCCAGGGATTTTTAGGCGGTGCAGGATTTCGTCCATCCACAGTATGTCTCTCAAAATTGAAGCAGCGACCGAATCCAGCGGGGTAAGTCGCGGGCTGAAGGCCGACTTCATGGCCTCACTGTCTCTTCTCTCTCTCTCAGAGCCCTGGTCAAATACCAAAGCGTATGCAAATCGGGATTGTCCAAAATGGGTTTCCCCTTGATTCCCCCAAAGTCGTTCCCAAATAAACTATAACTTGACATCTTCACTGAATCTCACATGGGGATATGTGAAAAGCGATTCTTTTGCTTTCCATCGATCTTGCTTCCATCCCTTCCGGAGCCAAGGGAAACGTCCGAAACGAGCCACGCGGAGGTTCCCAATTTAAACGGAGGTGAACTGAAGGCTTTTCTGGCGGACGAAAGCATGCCAGACTCCGGACATGTCTAACTCACCGTTTAAACCAACTCGCCTTGAAGTCCCTAAGGGGCCCGGGCTCTTTGTTCCGACTCAGGGCCCGGCAGTCACCAGTCCATGGTGCGTGCCGAAGCGGAAGACCGGAGCGAAGACCTCTAGCCTGCGGTCTTTGGCTTCAACGGGAACAGCGATCGCAGCAAAGTGGACACCCTTTTTCGTCGTTTGGCAAACACATCCCATGAACAAGCGGAAGTTGAACAGGAACCACCGCTGTTCAGTCCCACATTGACAACTGGCTCCCCATGACTCCCTGTTCAACATTTCTTGGAATCCCACCCTCCTTTCAACATGCAACATGGGGTTCAAGATCTTCCAAAAGGCCCCTGGGTTCCATGCGATCAAAATTACGAAGGCTTCCTTTAGCATGCGCGTGTGTGTCCTCATTTTCGGTAATGTTTTAGTACGTTCCCACTTCTCGACCCAAATGAACCATGGACTAATAAGTTTGACTGAACTTGGACAAACGAACAAGCGGGGATACGGAGGGAGCGGGGATATGGGGGAATCGATTCCCTTGACGGCATTTCCCATAAACTTAGGTGCATCAAAGGGGGAATCGAATCCTCCCGTATCCCTGGTTCCCCCTGTACTTGGTTGACGTTGGAAGGGGAGCAAAAAAAAAACTGGTAAGTGAGGATTTCAACCACTAAACCACGATAAGCAAAAATGGGAAATGTTTCCCAACAACAACCATGTGTATCCCTGCTTGGTTTCCCTGAACCTCATGTTGGTGGAAGTTGCCTTTCGGAGTCAGACTGAAGCGCCAGGGCTGAGCTCCTGACTGCCCAGTGCCGGCCAAGTCTGCCTGTGCCATAGGGAACCTGTCGAGCGCAAGAGCTCAAGTCAAGTAACACCCGCCGGTGATGCTGAACCCCCCCCCGAAAAGAAAAAGAAAAAGAAGGAGAGGGGGAACACGGGACAGTACCACACTTTACACCAAACCCCAGGGCAAAGCCAAAAAACAATTGGGAACCCCAGGACAGTCCAATTTACGACCCCAAACCCAGCTTCGGCTCTGCGGCTCAGGCCGCGGCGTGTGCAGCGACCACTTGGCGCAGGGCGGCTTTGGTCGGGCCGCCGCGGCGCTGGAGGCCCTCGACCTGACGTGACGTGCCTCCCAGTCATGGGCATAGGTGTCCTTTTGGGGCAAGGAGATGGGTTTCCCTGGTGGATGACTAAACATAAAAACCAGGGCCATCTGTTTTTCCACCAGAACAACCAAAAAACATGGGGGCTGGGGAGGGAGGGGAGGGGGAGGGAGCCCAAATAAGCCCTGAATAAGGCCTTAATAAAGGGTCGAAATCCCGGTTAGGTCCCAGTGAGCATTCCAATCCCGGCTAAAATAGGGTAAAATGGCCCACTAAAATAAGTTCTTAAAATGGGTGGTGAATTCACCTACCAACCACAATGGGATCCCATTCGTTTTGACCCACAGCCACATGGTGACATGGTGATGCCTCCCAGAGATTTGTCATGATTTGTCCTTGGCTTCCAATCAGTTCCAATGCTTTCTGCATCCAGGGGAAATGGATGGTGGAAGAGAATGATGCTGGCAAAGGAGGAATGAACCACAGAGTGTCTGTAAAAAGTCGCCTTCCCTTGGGTCTACCAATTTCAAGAGGATGCAAAGGGCGGCACAAATTTGACCTCTGGGCACATCTCGGGTCTGGAACCGATTTGGAACCTCTGGGCTTCGGATTGGCGCCTTAGAGCGAAAAAGGGACCATGCTAAGCTCAAAAGTGTTTTTGTTTTTTCCATTTGAGTGTGGCTCAAAATTAAACGATTGGAGGGGCAAACCGCAGGTTTTGGTACCCATCTTTCCACTTACCAGGGATACATTTTGGTACCGGCTTCTTGAGCCGCAGCTATTTGGGTCTGTCTTGTTGTTGAGGATACCCCCTTGTTGGTTGGCTTCAATGGACGACCAGTTTGGGGGATCCCCGAAAAAAGACACACAGTTGGCACCCTTCTGCACGGCCAGGCAGCTTTCCAATGAGGCAGGGTTGCTTCAAGCATGTTCCAACAGTATCACTTGTTCATCTCCCTGACCAGGGTTGGAGGGTTGAACTCCAAAGTTCGCCGATAAACCCTGTGGTAAGTGCCAAACGGGCCCCCTGGCTCGAGCGCAGCCGACTCAACTCCTCGACTCGACCTCTAAGCGTCCGCACACCGTGGACTGTCTGGAGGCGCTGTTGCCCCGCGAGCGCGTGTCTGTGCTCAGGGACTGGCGCGGTGCTTGGAATCCGTTCGGCAGAGGGGGGCGGGGAAGGGGGGGGTGGCTGGGCTTCCCATTCGCCTGCCAAAAAAAGAGCGGTCCGCCATGGGGCTGTGATTTTTAAATCAGCCTGTTTTACACCTTGGCATAGATGGATGCACCTTTACTCTCCAAAGCCACACCAATGGGGGGCAACCATAAGGACCTGCAAAAGGAGGGGGAGCCAAATCCCCAAACCACCTATCCAAGGCCAACGAGGCTGGGCACCGGTTCTCACCAACAAGGGTTGCCCCCAAACCAATCACTGGACAACGATGGCACCAAATCGAAAGGGCCAAAAAGGGAAGGTGCCTTTGATTAGTTGGGCAACCCCTCCCTGATAAAGCATCCAACACCCCCGTGTTTCGGGCGGAATCCGGCCACTGTGCCCGGAATCACAGCGCCTCTGTCTCATGCTCTTCGTAGGAGAGGATCACTAAGCTGCTCTCCTTGCACGGGCTTCATTTGAGACATGCCATGCTAACAAAATCCAAAAGCTTAAGGTTGGCCAAAATGAACCATGATGCTGGCGACCCTGACAGGGAAGCATGTTGGTCCCTATATGGAGGAAAATCAAAGGGGACCATTTTCCACCCATTGAAGTCAGTGGAGTGGCCGCAATCTATGCACTTCAAAGCACACGCGCCTCTGTACTCGTGCTCAAATTCCACATGATCGCCTGAATGCTGGCGCTTGCCATTTCTCAACTCCGAAAGCAAGGACTTTGTGTCGGTTTCCAAACAAATCCAAACCGAAGCTCCCGCCCGGAAACGGGGTAGCTTACCCTTATCGCTTGATTCCCACTGAATCCGGGGGGTCTGGGTGGTTTGGGTTGTTGTGTTTGGGGGGTTGGGCGTCTTGGACATCCTTGGGAATTCATCCATCCAGATAATAAAGATCGAACTCCAACCCAGCATTTCCTGAGCATCTTGGTCCAGTGAAATCCGGCGCAGATTTCTTTGAAGTCCCGGCATGGAGCATCCCCAATCGGAACCATCCCATCCGAAGCTCAGCTCAGAACCTTCTCACCGGGCATCCGAAAGGTGCCGACGGACTCCACCTGGACAGGGTACGCAGAAGTCACTCGTCGCGGCGCCCGCCTTGTCCCTCAGATCTCCCGCTCAAAGTGACTCACTTTTAGTGGTTTCAATGGAAACTACCACTAAACACTAAAAGGCTAAAAGGCTAAGGAACCGGATGGCTGGGAGCCACCAAGGTGGGCTCCGCCTCTTAAAATAGGCTTGGTTCAAAAAACAAAAAACCGCCTCCAATTAGACACGATCCATCTTGCGGAGTGGTTTGTGAAAGCCTCCGGAGTCCAAAAGTTGACATTCACCCCCCACACTTCCGAATTGCCGCCTTTTCTCCGGGGAGCCAAACAAAACTTGGCCGGCTTGCCGCGCGGAAAAGGGGGAAAAAAACAAAACGGCGAGGTTCTCCGAGACCAAAAACCGCCCGCTCCCGGCGGCCGAACCCGGGCCGAACCCGCGCCTGCGCCTTGGAATCCACGCGGAAGACGCCCAGGTAGCCCTGGTCCCCGCCCACCACAAAGCCTTGGAACCAGGCCTCGGCCGCGAAAAAACCCGAACGCATCCCTCGCCTCGCCTCGCTTTTCAAAATGCGGAAGTGTCTCATGCCGCAAAAATCGGGGGTCGATGTTGTGTTTTGTGTTGTTTTGTTTTTTGTTCTCGCGAAAATAACATAGTTTGCTTTTGGCTTCAAACTCACAGGGGGTCCACCATTTTGAACTCCCATCTAGAGCAGGGTCGGTCCCCTATGGATGTTTTCCTTTTGGCTTCCCCCTCACTCAAAGATAGGGGGTCGGTTTTCAAATGGATGGCTTGCTTTTGGCAAACTCTCCAAAGGGGGTCCACCATTTTGAAGAAGCCCCATCTAGACTCTCTGATTCGCGAAATGGCTGGCACCCTGAGTTGTAGTAGCGGTAAACAAGCGGGTATACAGGGGCAAACTGGGGACCTAACCGCTCAGCCAATTCCTGGACCATCCAAGTAACGAGAGACCCCCCCCCTCCCGAAATGGGATTTTGTTTCCCTTTGGCTCCATTTTAAACCACCCAAAAGTGTACTCCTGTAAAACGGTCGAAACTTGCAACCAACATGGGTGGTAACTTGGTTTCTTGTGGAACGCTTTGTGGGTCTGACTAGTTTCTGTTGACATTGATTGCTCGTCCCCTTGTGGTTAAAGTTTCGCGCCCCCATTTCCTGAACCAAAATTGACTGGGTGTTCGGTGGCTTGCCTTTTGCTTAAACCAAGAAAGCAAAGTCCATGACTCTCCCAAATGGACAGACCAAGGAAAACACCATGCCCATTGCATGGACCATAGACAGCTCAGCTAGGTCCTCCAGTGGAGAGGTTAGAATAAGGGTACCCTCTTCCTGTAGTCTATTTTAGTAGGGGAACCCTCCCCAAAAAAAGAAGCGGTAAAAGGGCACTGGGGGACCTAGTCAGGATATCTTGCCATCGGCCAACTGGCCCCCTCCCTCGAAAGGCCCTGGCAGTGATGGTGGTGAGGCGCACTGGCGGCGTCTCCATCATTGGCGGACCCTGCAGGATCCGCCGGACAGACGCCACGGATCTGGGGGAAGTGTGCAAACCCACATTGAAGCAAATAAATATATCATATTATCATAACATATTGCTGTATTGACACTACATCAAATATTTGGACAACATTAATTGATTATAAATCATGTTGTATTGCACTAGTGTGGCATTATATTCCAAGAATTGGACAATCTATTGTTAATTGAGTTTAGTATAAATAAATTGGATATTCATCACGCTGGAACTGAAGGTGTGATCCCCCACAAAAGGGAACGCTGGCGGAAATCAGGTGAAGAAAGCAAGAAGTACTTCCCAACACTGGGCTCTATTTTGGACGAAGTTTCAAGGGACAGAAGCCAAGCGCGTGTGTCAGTTCTTTTCGGCTTGGAAACCAAACGAACCCCGCCAATTGTACGGTTCCCTTCTTTTTAGACACACAGCGCCCCAGTGTCACCGTCCCCGAACGGAAAGAACAACTTGACCGCCAAAGAAACATGATGCAACATCAACAACAGGAGAAATCTTGGACTCCTTCAACACCCTTTAGGCAAACCCAGAAGGAAGCTCCAAAGGAACCAGCCTCATGCGCCTGAAACCCTCTGAGAAAAAAAAACAAAACGGGCACTCAAATACAGCAAAAACGGGGGCTGCACAATGTGCATTGGTCTCTGCTTGGCTCTCGAAACCTGGGCTTCTTCACGATGCCCTCATGTCACAAAATGAAGACTGACACATTTCCTGAAAAGGGCGTCGATGCATCGGTTCCGCACTCCCGGAAGGTTGAACGAAAAACCGGGCCTCTGCCCCCCCCCCCTGACTTGGCTTCCTCTTGCAACAAGCCGAAGAGAGAAGCCTTGTCAATTACATTGTTTGAAGATGCTTAAACCACAGTTGTTGAAACAAGCTCTTTTTGGGTTTCACACAAAAATTGCCAGGTCTGCATTGTCTAAACACATTCGGCATTTGGGGCTGTGCTCTTTACTTCGGGTACCCCTTAAAAGAGCTCGTACAGGCCAACGGGAAAACCGCAATCCATCAGGACCGTTTTGGCACGCACCGTCTTTCCCATCCAAACTGGTCGCACCTCGCCCCGGAGTTTGGCCAGCTGCATGACCTGCGCACGTCAGCCGTGGGCCGTGCTTGGTCGAGGGCAACCCCGGGCTGAGGGAAACCTCAAAAGGACAACCCAACGTGTCCGTCGCATTTGGACGTACGTCTCTAACTCCGAAAAGGGCCGACCTACGAAAATGAAACTTTGGCTCCAAAAAAGGGATGCGAGAAAGTTGGCGTTCGTCCTATTACTTCGCGGCGGAAAAATGCCCTTCCGGGCCTCCATTTGCTTGCCAGATGAAGCAAAGCACGAAGGTAGCTGATAGGCATTCGCCACAAGTGGAACCTCCCCCCCCACCCTTGTGGCCTGCTCCTTTTCTGCAGCTTTCGCACCTGGCCAAAAGAACCAGTGGGCCTCTTGAGGCACATATTACCAGCCTGCTTTCGGTCGTGGGTTGGCGGAAGTGCAATTCTCTGACACAGAGGGCAAATCATCATAGGCATTCATGACCAACCAGGACACTGCCATTGTTCAATCAGCCCATTCTTATTGAAACATCCATTGACGGCGCCCTCTTTCATGCTTGTCTGGGTACGAAATGGACTGGGTGTCCTTCGGGACAAAGCAACGTGCTAATTAGCACCCAGCTGTGCATTGGCGTCTTTGCCAACCCAGTCATCATTGATATGGGGTCAAGTTCTTGTGTTATATGGTCGCGCTCTGGACATCATAGTTGAAACTTCCAAAATCGTGGACCTTCAGTTTGCCCCTTAACCGGGTTCCTTACATGCCCGCCTCGAGCATCACCAGAAGGGATATCTACTAAAGCTGGCCTGCAATGTTTAATCATTCAGGGGGAAAAATCCCGGGGGGTCCTACCCGCCAGCGTGGAAGTGCACAAAGCCCCTGGGAAAACCACTCTGCTTTTGAAAAAAGGGTCCGGTGCACTTTGATGGTTTTTTGAGCCGAACCTCCTGATGCCTTTTATCCCAAGTAAGTTTGATCATGGCGCGGCTTCCCAAAATGCAGGCACCTGTCGACTCATCCTTCTCAATCTGAGCTCGGACATCGACTTCCTCAGGCTGTTCAAAATGGACGGGTTAGCTAGTCTTGATCCACTGCTGTTTTGCAGGTCAGCAACAAACGACCATCTTTTGGTTGGTTCCCACCTTAGCAGCAAAAACATCAGATGATCTGAACCCGTAGCCACCAACATTACGGTCATCGCCCCCATTACAGTCATCCACAACCCCTGCGACAAAGGCGACCAGGTCCAGGGAGGGATCTTACAGCCTCGAAAAAATCTGCATCCGGACGCCACGACCCAAACCGCGGGACATGTCAAGGGCCAGGGAGCCGAAGACATTGCCGTGCCTTCTTCCACGGATTGGATTCAAAGGCTCAGATGCCCAGTAGCCATGGGAAAAAAAAAGAGAATCGGCTTCCTGTTGAGTTGGTTGAAGTTAAAGGGGAATTCCCACAAAAAGGAAACAAGGGCGGAATCCACTGGGCAAGTGGGAAGGGGAACCAACCCCCCCCTTAGGCCTTTGTGGGGGGACTCCCATGAAACTCGGAGAGCCGGGTCCTCCCGTTGGGCGCCATCTTCAAAGATGACCACGCGTCCATCCTGACGACAAAAATCGTCGCCTGGAGTCCCTGCAAAAAAACAGAAAAACAATCCGGCATTTTAGACTACCCTCAGTTGTTCAGTGACTCTGGAAAAAAAGGGAACCCTTTTTGGGGAAGACCATTTTTAGTGGGGCAGCCACCCAAAAAAGAAGGGAAAAGAATGGGCGCCACTGAACAACTGAGTACCTGGCGTCTCCATGACCCTTTGTTAAAATGGGGCCATTCGCCAAAATCATGGGGTCATGGACCCATTTTTGAAGGGTCATGGAGACTCCAGGTATTCTCTTTCCAACTTTGCTCCATAGCCCACCTCGGTTTTGGGTTTCCCTGGTCCTTGCATTGTTGGATCCAATGTGGTGACGGAGCCGGAGCCGGAGCCCTTATGCCCGGATGCGGCCTCCGTGGCCGCGCAGAGGAAAGTGGCGAGAACCCAACAGTGGTCTGCCACCTGCTGCCAGGACCACTCGATGGCTTACTTCCATTTGGTTAAGTCCCCTGGAAACAAACTATTTCCACTAGTGATGGATTCCCTTTAAAACCAACAGGTGCAACAAAAAAAACATATTCTTAGCAATGGAAGATTTCGTTTTTTTGGCCCCCCTGGCTGTTGGAGCTCCCGGTGCCACAAATTTGGATGGCCCACAAAAACGCGTCGTCAAGGCAAACAAAGCATCACGCAGCTTGCGGCCTTCATCGACTTTTCCTGCTTCAAAGGAAATAGGGAAGGATTCTCGTTCAATCCATGGTCCTCAGGTGGCACTACGACTGTTTGCGGCTCTCGCGTCTTGGATATCCATCTGCATGCTCTCCAATCGCACCCCCAAAAACATAGCGAGACACACATCCATGCAGACTGCTGAGACATTGTCCAATAGATTTCAAAGCTTCCCTTGTCCAACAGCATTGTTCGAGGAGCATGTTCATATGTCCAGATTCCAGAAGGTTTGCCATGAGGACTTTCATGTTGATTCGACACTCCGACACATCTGTTGCTTGTGCTACAGGCTCACCTGTCGAAACAGACGATTGCAAGTAAGGCGGCAACATTGGGATTGTAGTCCCACAGGCGCAAATAGGACAGCCTCAAACGCGATTGCAGGCTTCACAACGACCATGGTCTCTCTCTTGATACCTCGTGCTTTTTTTGAAGAGGAACACACGCGCAAAAAGCCAATGTCACACGCCCCAAGGTCTTGCGCCGTTCACTTTCCAAGCCTAACCCGTTTCGGCACGTGACACGTTGGTCCAGTCCTCGTGCCTGGCCCTAAGGAAGGCGCCCGCCCACGGAGAACTGGGCGACGTTGCCGGGATTCCCCAGGACGCGACTGACCTCAGATTCGAGACCTGAAGTCTTGAAACGCCCGAAAAGCCCGAAGCGAAAGGCAACCATGGAGCTGTGAGCAACAGGGAAATTGCGGCCACTGAACTGGGTGTCGGGAGAATTTTGAAGTCCAGTCTCCTTCGATAGCACAACGTGCATGCAACAAAATATATGTTAGCATCCTGCAAATGGGGGAAACTTCTTGATTGTGGAGATCAACCACCTCGGCCTGTTTACCCCTTGCCTCATGAGAAACAAGTGCCTGGAGTCTCCATGACCCTTTAAAAATGGGACCTCGGGTTGTTTACCCCCATGACAAACAAGTACCAGCAAAGTCCCGGCATCTTGAACACAGCTTTCGCGCCCAAGTAAAACTCCCAGAAGACTCTGTCCGTGTTGGGGCCTTCGAAACTTCAGATGCTTTTAGATGTTCTATATAGTGAGCCATCTCAAAATGCAAGTGATGTCGAGGCGCCAACCGCTCGTTCACGTACGTGGCTCGTACTTCCACTTTTCAGTGCCCTTCTGTGGCCCTGGGTCTGTCTAGGGACCCCAATTAAAGCCCCAAGGCTAGCGACAACAAACGGACCCCTTTATCTTGGCAGACACCAAACTTTCTGATTCTTCACATTTCCGTGAAAGATTAAACCGCTTTCAAGGAGATCGCTTAGGGGCAAAAACAACTTGCTGGTGCTCACTAGTCAATGAGCGGGATTCCCTTAAGGGAACCCCAAGGGATGGTTTTTCTAGGAAGTTATTCCATTTCTCAGTCCCTGCCTCTCTCGCACCAGAGATGACAAACACAGGCTAGGTCCTCCAGTAGAGAGCTTAGAACTAGAGTACCCGATTTCTTGTTCTGTATGCTATTTTAGTAGGCGAACCCTCCCAACCAAAAAAGAAACGGTGAGAAGGGTACCTAGCTGGGGTAGCATAGGTAGCTGCAGCATAGGTGTCCTTTTTTGCCGGAAATAGATGGCCCTGGATGATTTAAACCACCAGGTAAACCAGGAATCGCCCTCCATTTGTCTTTGCCAAAACCAACCAAAAAGGACCTATATATGCATCTTCCCCTTTCCTTTTCCAGGCCATTCGGGGTCATTCCATTTCACATTCGCATCTCCACATGAGACCAACCATGAGCCCATGGGCGCTAGCCTCGCGATGGGCTGGGCTTCGGGCCGGCATCTGCATGTCGTGGGAAGACATGAGCTTCTCGGCGCCCCAGCGCCAGAAGGACAACTCGGATGGAGCACTCGACTCGGATCGGTTTTGATCCAGCGGGTCGCGGTGGGTCCTTCAGCGCCAAATCGCTTCCAGTGAACATCCGATTCAAGCACTAAAATAGGAGGCCTGAAATGGGTGGTGAATTCACCTACCAACCAAAATCGGATCCCAAAACGGTTTTGACAACCACAGCCCTGTGGGTTGATGTGGGTTGGCTTCCTCCTGAATTTGTGGGTCCCACTCAGAGACCCCCCCACAAACCAACACAAAACGGGACAAACAGAAACAACCATGTGCACCAACCGCGCAATTCCCCTCCTTGGCTGCTGTTTGCTCATGCATTAACCTCCTACCGATATGCCCCGCCCAACGAACATGGATAAATGAATGTGGGGGGGTGCTCAAAATGGTTGCAACCTTCTTTTTGTTTAACCAAGAAATTCCAGAGTTTGTGGGGGACTGGGTCTCAGGAAATTGGTTCGAGGAATGAACCAGGGGGATCCTTCCTGAAACTTCTCTGAAAACAAGGAAGCTTTGTGGGAAAACCATGGGAACATCACAAGGGTCACTTTTTGAGAAATCAGGGGTTGGGTTTTTCCGTGGCACCCTGTGTGAAGGTGAGCACCTGAGGTTGGGCAATGTTCGGCAAACTCCCAAGCCCTTAGGGGTGTTCGAGGTCAGGTCCATCTAAGGGAAACCGGGTGGCTTGAATAGGTCTTCAAGCAATTTTTAAAGGGCTTGACCCAGCCGTACCCTGCACACAATGCCCTCGAGCCCCGCCGTTATTCTCTAGGAATTGGAGCGCTCACATTGAGTGCTTTGGGGTTGCCCTGAACACAATTCCGAAAGGCGGTTCTCTTACGGTAAGGTTTGGTCTCAGAATATAGTCGCTGGACAACCGCATCTCGCTTTTAAAGCTTGCTCCCTTTTGCTTGGATTGGCAGGCAAAAGAATTCCTTGCCATTCTGTTGGTTCATGTTCTCGTTTTGAAACAGGTGCTCTGCTCCAGATGCCATGTCAAATGTGCTGTAAGTGGGATGAAGTGAACAATCTAGCGTTTTGTTTGGTTTCCCTTAAACCAGCATACTGCAAAAGGGTGCCAGAGTTTGGACACTCCACAAATCGAAATAGGCGATGTGCCTGAATCTGGAAGGTGCAAAAACATGCTCCAGGGGATTTTGATGGATATGGGCCACCTTTGGAGTGTTCCGCAAAATTGCGGACTCCTCCACCTTCTAAGCTGTCCAAGGGGGGGTGGTGGGGGCATTCTATTAACCACGTTTAGCATGGCATATTGGGCAACATCGTCCTAGTCAGCGCGAACGCGCGTCGAACTGAGGGTCCGACAGTTGCATCCGGCATGCTCGACAACGAGACGAGGTTCTTCCCGTCCGCGGTGAACGCCAAGTCTGAAATGCAGGCGAGCAACGCAAATAGTTCCTCCAGTAGAGAGCTTAGAATAAGTTGGTGCCCCTCTTCGGTAGTCTGCTTTAGTAGGGGAACCCTCCCAACCAAAAAAGAAACGCTGAGAAAGGGCACCAATTGCTGGGGGACCTAGGCAACAAGAAAACACACGCACAAAAATGGACCACGAGCTGAGGCCTACAATGTCCAAGCGCTTGTTCGTCGGATGCAGCACCTTCAGCGTCTCATCCTTGTCCTCAGTGGACATCATCCCGACGGCAAAGGAAAGGACCACTTCTGCGATACAACAGAAAGGGCTTCTCAAAGACTAACCTCCCATAAAAGGGGGAGATTCCCTTGTATCACGGTGGGGCTAAACCCCTTGATCCCACAACCCTGGTTTGAACCGACTGCAAAGGAAAGGACCAAATCCTTCGGTAGCCTCGGTATCTGACGGATTGCCAGAATCACAGCCCGTAAGAGTGGGATGGTTCCATAAACTAGGACCCCCCCCCCAAAAAAAAAACAACTAATCAGATGGTGGGTCAAACATCGAACTTGTCCTAGGAAATCCGAACACAAAATTCCCCAAACCCACTTCAAGTGTTGGTTTATGTGGAGATTTGTTTGGGGATGGTGCGCTTGGAGCAAGGACTTCCGAAACTCAAATGTTTGGTCAGCTCCAGAAAAAAAAGCATCTGCGAGAAAGTGTGGGGGTGGGTTGATAATTAACACAAAGCGGACAGGAAGTGGACCCAACCCTCTTTCCAAAAATCATGTAAAGACAGGAGGTCTGTTGATGGTAGCCTTCCGAACCCCACGCGGTAAAACGGATAGCTCCAACCCTCCAACATGCAAAAACAACAACACGCAAAACCACAAGGGAGGCAGAGGAACCCCCGCCCCAATGGCTTTGATACCCCCAAGAAACGTTTCTAGCCCAAAGCCTCACCGGGCACTGAACCGGGCCAAAGCTCCATTGACTCCGCTTTCTCGCCGGTCTCCTGGCGTCAAACATCTCTCTGACGTTGGCCAAAAGGAACTGCACCCCGAAATGGACCATGCAGAAATGCACACGCACACGCGCACACGCGGACATGCACCTTGGCTCACACACCAAATGTCGAGACAAAGCCTCTCCCATGTCTTCTGGACGAGCCACGCGTCGTGCTCAAGGTGCGCATCTTTACATCATCAATTGGACGGACAGCTCTAAAATGATTCCCAGCACCCGCAAACCCTGAGGAAACAAGGGGGTATATTATATACTTTACATAGTGGCTATATAGTGTTTTTGTATATCTCATCAAACCGCGGAGGTAGTGGTTTGGGGGCAGTGGAAACTATCTCAGACTATTGCCATTTTCATAGCCGCACCTTCGGTATGTTCAGGACGCTGATCTGTGCTGCCTCGGACGAGTCGAGGATGCTCAACACCAGCGCCACAACTTCTCTTTCAACTTCCGATGACTTAAGCCCCTAGATTCGTAGTCCAATGCCAAAGGCACGCCTGACACCAAATGCCCACATCTTCCCCAGGCCACTCAAACATGTAGTCTGCTTTCGGTCTCTGGGCTGTTTACGCTGGCCTCGCATTATGTTGGCCCGGCTTTGACTTGGTTGACGTTGGAAGGGGAGCAACAATTTAAGTTTTAGCAGTTAAGTGGGGATTTCAACCACTAAACCACAATAAGCAAAAATGTAAAATATTTCCCAACAACAACCATGTTGACACGGATCTAAAATGCCATGGCATTGGCCTGTGAATTCCTGAGCCGTGAGCGTGTGTGGAGCCATCATCTGACCTTGGGTGATGCGATGGGTATGTTTTTCAAATTCGGGCCCCCTCCAAGTCCGTTTCCTGTTGGTCTCCCTTCACCATCCAAAAACGGCTCAGGTTTGGTCCGTATCAACTTTCCGCGCAAAAGCTGCACCCAAACTGCCAAAGAAACAAAATCTGCCAAACTGCCAAACGCTTTTAGCCCAAAGAAGAAAACAAATCCGCGCTGGCGACTCACAATGAATCTCACTGAAAGCGCCTTCCTTCCGCGGTGAGTCTCGCTCGGGGCCCTGACCCCACACGCTCGCCCACCGCCATGAGCTTGCCATTGAGCGACCTCAAGGTCAAGTGCCATGGAGTCGATGTGTCCGACCGCGGGTCTTTAAAAATTCTTGCACATGGTCTAAATCGGGCCCCTGATCATCTACCCTCTCAAGTCAAAGGGTCTGTTGGCCAAATTCCTCCGAAGCGGCGAAGTCAAATCGGTTGCAAGACCCCAGCACAAAGGGAGGGGAACGCCCACACCTTGGCTGTGAGCATTGACTGGGCACGTCTACGAGAACTGCTAGACTCAAGGCTCGGGGAGGAAGGCAAAGTGACCTTGCCCCTTGCCCGAAACACAGGGGTTCCTATGCCCCTAAATATTGACAAAGAGAACCTCAGTTGACCCAGGTGATGTTTGAACATTTTTAAACCACCCAAAGAGGGACACATATGCTTGCAAATGGTCAACAACACGTACATGGCACGAACCAACAACCAGCACGCAATGCCGAACCACCCAAAGAAAACCCTCCAGATCCTTGAGAAAAACCTGTAAACCACACCACAGGCACATAGTGCAGCATCATCTGTGGATGGACGATATCCATTTCGCACCACCGTTCAGAAACCCTGGAACCATGATTTTTCTGTAAATACGAACGAAGGATTGCAGGATTTCGTCCACTACCAACTCAAGTCTGTGGGCTGCTCTCTTCAGCTCCTTGGTGTCCGCGCTTTGTCATGGCTGTGATGGTGCGATGCCTGGCAGGTCTCAAAGTGCTGGTTTCCTGTTGGCCTCTGTTGAAGAGACACCCAACAAGGGTCCTCTCAAAGAGAGACACACCCAATTTCCCACCCAGCCGTTAACGATGGTCAGCCTGATCACATTGGTTTCTTATTTCCAAGCAACATTCCTCCAAGCAACATTCCTGGTGCATTTGACAACACCAACCAGAACAACAACCCGCGAGCCCGTAAGCAGGACACCAATCCACACTGGAATGCTACTGATGGACAAAAATCCTGCACCAGGGATGAATAAAACCCAATGACTGGGATAAACCACCTAAAACTGGTGCAGGACTACCAACTGCTGGTGGATGTTGCCCATGGACTAAAGCCCAGTGCCCATCCCGTGCTTTCCGTCCCGTGCTTTCCGCCTGGCATCCCGCCCGAAGAAGGACAAGCGCTGCCGGCTTTGGTGGCACAATGTGATGTGTCGACCTGGGCGCGGGTGCCGTCTCAGTGGTCTCAGTGAGGATCCTTCGAATGGGATAACCTTGATCTCTGCCCAGTGGATTTTGGGGAAAAAAATATCGGCATCCTTTTTTGGCTGGTTGAGAATGAAAGGGAAACCCTTCCCCACAAGTTGAAAGGGCGGAATCCACTGGGCAACTGGGTTATCTGAAACGAGGAGACATGGAACGACATGGACCTGTACCCGTGAACATGCGAGGTGGACAGGCTGTCTGCCCGGCGCGAACATGACACGAAGGGTTCGGGGGACATGACATCTTCTTGCTATAAGGGGAACCACCCAAGCTCGTAGTTTCCTGCAACCAACAAGGACCGAACGAATCCCGGGCTTCCCGCCAACGCAAAATGCAAAGGACTCCTCATTCAGCGAAATCACCTGAGCGTTGCGGGCGACAATACTGTGGACGGACGAACTCCTGGATGAAGCCACCAGAAACCAATAGAAAACTACCCAAAGCGGATGGCCATCCTCCTGCAGATCTGGGTCCAAACCCATACCCTGGCAACAGTCCGCTACTCAAGAGTTCGGTGCTCATACGGCCAGCCTAAAAGCATCACCCACCCAAGAGAAAGTCAATAACTTTGGCCTTGCGCACAGATGCAAACATCATCCCAAAGCAAAATCTAGGGACTCCTGTGCAATGTGCCCATCCACCAATGCAGTGGCGACATATCCATGCACCTAGCGCGTGACTGAGATCGGCCCCAATTCCTTCTACAATGCATACCGCTTAGCCCAAGATGAGCAACTAAGGACTTGTCTGCCCAGCCTGCACCTAGCTCCCACAAGATAATACAAAACAATCCATCGGCAAAGGAGTCTCCTTTTGAAGAACCCCTTTTTGGGCTCCATGTTGATTTGCAAGGGAGTATTATTTACCAACCTGGCTCAAGGGAATCTCTCAGTATGGAACCTTCATAATAGGACTCCGCTCACTTGACCCCTGAATGCACCAGCTTGCTACAGGTGCAGCAACTCAGTTCTGGCTGAGATCGCCGCAGCATCCCTGATGGGACTTGGGTAGACTCCGAACCTAGGCACCGGAAAAGCCAAGTTGCATTTTTCGCTCCATGAAAGATTCGGCATGGCCCGTCCCTTTTCAACTTCTCTGCTTCCCCGTCAAACATCGCACCAAAGCAAACTCTCTTTAATCGGCCCTAGATGGTGCGCTCCTGAAGGAGAAAAAAGGGGACCCCCGCGAATGGGGTTCTTAGAAGGTTGCCAAGCCAGCAAATGCAGCTTCCATTCTTGGAAGGGCTTCCTTTTGGTTGGTGTGAGCTTCCATTTGGAAAGGTTGCCAAAACCCTTTCTTGGTGGTGGGAGGGGCGATTTGGTCTCTTCTGACTGCCAAAGACTGTGCGAATTTGACCTGTGTAACCATCGACCATCGGGCCATGTCCAACATTTCCAACTGAGTCATAACCAAAACCCGGTACTAAAGTGGTCGACCCAGAACCATGTAAACAATTAAGAAGGCGGAAATATCCGCAGCTATTTATGGTTGGGATTGTCCTTTACTAACCGGATCATCTACCCGAATCGGTTTTGAGCAAGTGGCTCAGGTGATCTTCGCCAAAAAGGTCGCCTCCAAAGTGCTAAACTTCGGTGTCCTAGTTTCAGTTCTGAACATAGATGGATTCCACTGGCCAACCAATCTGTTTGCAATAAAAAAAAAGTAGAACCCATCTTCGAAGGTACACTGTTTCAGGTGAAGGATAACCAAAAGGAAACTGGTGTCCTCTGTGAGTACATGGGGGTTGTGTCAACCAAGCACCAGACCTTCCCTGCCCCCATTCCCCCATTCAACCAACAACCGTTCCAACCGCTCGGCTTCCGTGCGCGTGCGCTAAGCGCAACTTCACGCGGTCCTCGGTGAATTCGGTTTCTCAACAGGGTGGACTTGGGGTGGATTGAACTGGGCCAACATCTGCGCACAAATCATATTTTCATATTTAGTTTACCCTAAAATGATTGCACACTATCGTTGTCCGATTCATTAAAAACAACAAAACAACACACCCGGACCTGGCAATCCCTGATGACTACCCACTGGTGCACAATCCATTGATACAAGGGGAATGCCGTGTCCCCTGATAAACACCCCGTTCGCGAATTGATGAACAAAATAACACCCACTTAGGAATCAGGACTGACATGGGCTCAAAGCTCTTAAACCCTCCAGGAGGCTTCTTTGTACATTGTGGACATTGGGTGTGAATTTCAGTTGGGTTCCATTTGGTGACATCATCTACATGAAGATTGGTGAATTAATAATGGCTGAGGACGCTCCTCATTCAAATACATGGCTGTGGGTCAAAACCAATGGGATCCCATTTTGGGGTAGGTGAATTCACCACCCATTTTAGAACCTATTTTAGTGGTTGGATTGGGATGTTCACTGGGCGTACGATTTGGTTTTTGACCCATGGCCACATCACATACTAGGTGTGTCGCACATTTCAGGAGGTGGTGCCTTTGGAGGTAAGAAGGCAAAGCACGCTCGACGTTTCTGACACGCCCTCGAATGACTCGGACACCTGAAGGACATCCACTCGCAATTGCGACTTGGAATTCTCGTCTTTCCAAGTGATACCCTTCCTCCCAAAATGGGCTTCTGCCACAGAAATGTTAGGTCTTTGGGGCCCGGATATCCTCCAGGTGCAATTTGTTAGGCAGGGCCATTGTTTCTTTTCTTTTGTTGAATTAAATTCCACCTTTGAATGGAAAAACTCGGATCCCTGGAGTCCAGGGGCAGGCCATCAGAAGCCAACGACTGCAACCAGTTCCAACCTAATCCCCATCGTCTCCACAACACGTGGAACTCTTTGGCTTGGCCTTGGCACAGCCTGAAAGACAAAGTCCTCCAAGTTGCTTGAGAGCGGTTTGTTTGATGGGAATGGTCCGACAGTTTCTTCACTGATTGCTGTCAGGCGAGTGATTTATCTCCACTCCAGCGGCAAAATCCCTTAGCATTGTGATCTTACCTCATGAGAGGCAACACAATTTACGTCGTCAAGCTCGTCTGGGTTGACGACTACCCCCAAAGTCAACAATAATTGGATTTCTCTTTCACGTTCGTAGGATGGTTCTAGGGACACCGAAAACAGTCCGTCCCATTTCTGTTCAATATCTAGTCAACCTTCCCGAAAAAAACAACATGACGGGGGGTGGGTTCAACAAAAATTAGTGGTTCCCTATGGTTGGCTTCCTTGTAGTGTTCTGCTTTTCATACCAAAAGAAACCCACCTTGCAATTTCCTTTTTCATATCAAAAGGGACCCGCCTGGAAATTTCCCTTTTCGTACCAAAAGGCACCCGCCTGCAAATTTCCCTTTTTCGTACCAAAAGAAACCCGCCTGGAAATGTCCCTTTTCGTACCCAAAAGAAACCCGCCTGGAAATGTCCCTTTTCGTACCAAAAGGCACCCGCCTGGAAATCGCCTTTTTATTCCAAAAGAAACCTGAATTTCCCATTTTGAGCACCCCCCCCCCGGTTCAAGGGGGCTCCATCTCACCCCCTTTGAGGCAGGGGCATCCGAAGGAAGCCTCGCCGACTTTGCCGGGCTTCCGGCGCCTTCCGTCCAGTCGAGTCCAGTCAGGGGCTGCGTTGGTCTTCGGGAGTTGCTGCTCCTTTTTGCAGGGCTTTCGTTTCCCGAACATATCACAAAAAAGAGGGAAAACCCACCTCTCCTTTTTTCCCTAACATCAGAAAAAGGGGGAAAACCACCGAACACCCAAAAAAGGGGGAAAACCCTTTTGGGTCAAAAAAACAACAAGGACAACCATGTACCTCTTTTGGGGTCTCCGATTTTTGTTTGAGGCACATGCATGCAGCTACCAGCAGAACTTTCTTCACTCGCACGAGTACAACACTCCAGGTTGACTGCTAGGTGCATTGAGCATGCCTAGCGACAATAGCGGAATTGCCCGTGTAATGTGGGATAAATCACATGCTGAACCAGGCTGGGTTCGGAAAATGCAGAATGCCTGGATCCAAAGAATTCGATTGGCTCGACGCGAGCACCTGCAGTCTGTTGCTGCAAGTCAGATACAAGAAATTCCAGCCACCCTCGAGCTACGCAAATTCGAGTCCACTTGTGCAGCCTCCATCCAATCATGAAAGCTGACAGGGTTTTGGACTTCGTTCCTTCCGGGGAAGCCACCCGTCCACTTCCATTACGAAGAGGGTATCCTATTGATACACTTGGCTGTCAAACAGGCGCTAAGTCTGGCTGGACCTGTCAATGCAGCAGCTTAGAGTCAAGCCCTCATCGGAGCCCGTCTATGCGCTGCTTGGCAACAGCTAGCTCCACTCGCTGTGCTCGGCATGGGAAGATCCCATCCTCCCTAAACTAGAGCGGGGCTGCTTCAAGGACCGTCGTGGACCCCTGAGGGTGGAACCTTAATGACTCCCAAGTACAGCCATAACAAAGCAAGGGGCATATCACGCAAGCCACACGTCCCAGGGAAAGTTTCCTGAATCGAAGCAAACAAGTATGCCCTCAGTGCTGCTCCCCTGTATATATTGACCTGGAACCCAAACAAGGGGATCCTTTTCGCAAAAGGAGACTCCTCCAAAAAGGGCTACGGAAGTGTTTTTTTTTTTTTTTTTTTTTTTTTTTTTTTAAATATATATAGATGTATAATGTTCACATATATGTATACAATATATATATATATGTATACACATGAACCCTCAAAAGACTTGCTTTTCAGGATTTCACGTCTTTCAGGCGAAGACCCAACACGCAACTCAATGACACAACTTTGGTGTTGTTTTGCGTTGCTTTCGCGTTGTTGTTTGCTGCTTTCGCGTCATGTTTTCAGGGGCGCCACGCGCTGCGTCAAATTTTCAGGGAAGACTGAAAAATGACCATCCATCGTTGCAGGGTCCAGGTATATATTATGGATATGTATATATACATATACACATGCATCTACAGGTTCTAGACAGTTTTACGCCTTTAGCTCACCTCATTTTGAGGCTCCATTCACCTGCAGGGGTGTACACGCAACGGCCCCTGACTCGACTCACGCCAGGCTGGCATCGCTCCCTTCGGAGGAGCCCACATCCGTGTCGAGCTCCGCCTCGCTGTGCTCGTCCTCCAGGCCCTCCACGAAGACTCCCGCCCAGAGCTCCTGGAACTTGACGAAGGGCTTCTGCTTCCTGGCCCAAAAGAGATCTCAAGGCTCGAATTCACTCGGCGACAAGACGCCGGACTAAAGGACAACACACGGTTTTGCTTCGAATTGGTGGTTTTGTGTTTAACAACAATCATGATCTGCTCTTTGGCCCATACCCAAAACCTCGGCATCATGCTCCTCTTTTTTTCCTCGGCGCTCAAAACTCACGCCGACCCCGCACGCGCTCTTTTTTTTCTTGTTCGCTGTCCTGAAGAGACGGAGCGGGATCAACAGGAGCTGGATGGCCACCCACAGGAGCAACCCGAAGATGATGCCGTAGCCGATGCTGAAGGTGAAGGGCATGGTGACCATCGCCACAAAGGCTGGCATGGACTCCTGGAGCCAAATGGGTATGCTCCCGTCTCTGGGCTGCCCGTTTTCAGATCCCCGTTTTCAGATCCCCCGCTAAAAGTGACGCACTTTTAGTGGGTTAAGTGGAAACTGCCACTATGGCCATGGGTCAAAAGCCAAATCGTACCCCCCAGTGAACATCCGATTCAATCCAAAATGGGTGGTGCACCTACCCCAAACTGGTCCCTTGGTTTTGACCCACAGCCAAATGGGTATCCTTCCCATCTAACATGGAACCTGACTGGGGGGGCCTGGAAAAGTATTTCCGTTAAAAGGGACCCTCTGGTAGGTTACATGTTAATGGACAGGAGCTTTGTTGTCTTTTAGAGTTGGTAATTGAACTTAGAGAAACAAAAAGGAAAACCCATCATTTGGTAGGTCCCCAATTTTGACACATACCCAAAAAAGAGCCCTCAAAATTGGCTTCCTTTTGGTTTCTCTTTCAATACCTAAGGGGGTCCTCCACTTTGAGACATTCTCCATATGATTTGAGCTGCCTTAAAGGGGGCCCCGTTAAAATGGCTTCCCGTTTCCCTTCAATACTGTGTGCCCTCAACAAAAAACGTACCCTCAAGAAAAAAGTACACTCATTTGCGGCATCCACAGCTCCAGGTGGATTTACATACAGTTTTAAGTGGGGACCCTTTTGGGAGGCATCATTTGCGAAAAAAATATACCCTTTCTTCAAGTGTTCCATTTGATGCTGGCTGCTCCTGTTGTTCACGTCTTTTGTTGCTCGAGATGAAGGTAGAGCTCCCTTGTTGTTCAGCGACCATTCACTTTCTTCATAGCACTCATAGGATGTTTTCGAGAAGCCACCCTGGCAAGGAGAAGAGAACTAGAATTATAGACAGAGGGTAGCCACGTTGAGTAATAGCAGTGTTTCCATCCCGCTGATGCATGTGCAAGCGCGATGTTGCTTTTCCTTTGCTCTTCTCGTCCTTACCGTGAGTCACTTCGGCAGCAAGAAAGCACGCATCCCACCCAGCCAGCCAGGTAGAACAGCCAGCAAGCAAACAAGCGGAAAGTATCGGAAAGTAGTAGTGGGCACCGGGCACACATTGGTTCATGTGCAGCAGGAAACGGGTTCAATTTCTCATGTCTTTTTCTTTTCATTGCCAAGCAGGGACAGTGTGTAGATGCCCTGATGTCGATGATATTGGATTCATGTGATACAAGGTAGGCAGCACAATGTTCGGTGAGTTCAATCGGCAAAGCTTCAGGGTTCCTTACATTATACACCTGAACATTGCCTTGGGCGTTGAAAAAGCCATGTTTCAAATGGTTGCAACATGTATCTTGTAAGGAGCCCTGAGCTTGTTTCCATTCGACATCATTGCCTTACAAGCCAAGTCACTGGCAATAACTCGCGAAATTTTCGCCAGGTGGGCCATAGCTCTCAACATTTGGACGAACGAACAAGCGGGGATACGGGAGCGGGGATATGGGGGGATTCCCTTGGCGCCATTTTCCATATCAAACATAGTCAAGGTGCATCAAACGGGGGAAGCCTCCCGTATCCCTGGTTCCCCCTGCATCCCTGCTAGTTGGTTTCCCTGAAACATGTGAGCACATGGTTCATGAACATGTCCTGCTTGGCGTAGAACCAAGCTGGACCTCCCTTTCCCCGGCACACGCACACACAAAGCAAACTGCTGGCAACGTGTCTGGCTGCAGAAAGCGGATTCGTGTCTGCGCTGACTGACTCTACGTGGGTTCAATTGTCTTGCATTCTTCTGCCGAGATTAGTCTTGAATGTTGGTTTTCGCATCAGCATCTTAGCCACCAAACTCCGCCACGTAATGGTAACATCTATCCTTTCCATTGGTCCACGTTGGCTTTAGATCCATCGAAGAGTTGATAAGTATCCCTCTAAATCACAAAAACACCTGCTTTGACCATTGCCCACATAGCAAAAGATACGCACGGGTTTGGCGGGGCTCAAGCGTCATTAGTGCAGCAACGTGCTGTCAAAGCAAAGCACCAATCAGGCGCAAACATAGGCACACGCGTGCACACTAACCACCCGTCGCACACGGAAGCTTCCAGAAGGTCCCTTTGAGGGAAGACTGGTCTTCCAATGCCCTCCAGTCAAGCTCTGAGTGTGCAACGGTTTTTTTTGGTCGGGTTCTGAGTGATATCAGGTGTGTGTCCTCGTAGTCATGCCAAGGGATGCCCATGACCGCGCTGCACATCAACGCGCCCAGCAAGCAAAGGATGGGTCCAGAGGCCAAGGGCGGAACGGCAGATACCACGGGAGCAAAGGGGATGGCGAACAAGAAGCAGACCCCCGTCACCAAGGTGGCCAAACCTCTCGGGTGGCCAAACCTACTGTTTTTCAACCGAACTTCTGGCTCCTTAAAGGGAAAGCAAAGGGATGATGTCCAAAGAATAGTGGTTCAAACCATTTACCCTACCAACTGACATGGAAGTGCACAGACTCTCAGACCCTTGAAGAAAGACGACTTTCCTCTTGGCAAGGGCCTACTGTGCACTTCCATGTTGGGAGGGCCCAGTTGGCCCTGCCTGTCTTGGCGCCATCAGCTACCCCTGCGGTACTCTCCGCAAACGTGGCCACCGTAGACACCCCGAGCCTGGGAAGCCAACGAACATCGTGGCTAGCCATGGCCTGGTTCAAACATTTTCAGCTGGCTGGAGAAAACCACATTTTCCAGGCAGAAGACGATTCTCTTCTGGGCAAAAACAACCTTTTGCAGGGAGCAGAAGACGATTCTCTTTTGGGCAAATTGCTTCTCGCAGCACCGAAGCAAGGTTTGTTTGGCAAGGGGTCTTCATCATTGTTTCGGCCCCGATCGGTGATCTTATGATTGTTTGCCCACGTTGATGTCAACTTCAGATTCAGATTAACCTGGCAGACCACTAATCTCCCCTTTCTAGTGCATGATTGATTATTTGTGTTGGGAGAAGTCCTCGCAATCAAGGGTGGTTTTTTCCCCCTGTACTGAGGAATCAATTCATGTTGGGAAAAGGATGTATGGTGTCCCTCACCAATATCTGAAATTGACGTTAGCAAAGCCCCTGGTGACATTCAGGCGCTTTCGAATGAAACTCCTGAAAGCGAACATTTGGAAAGCCTGACTCAGATCCTAAAAAAACGCACGCTCGCCATACTGTAAACGCCTGAGGTTGACATGGGGAGTTGTCAAACACATACGCCTTTGGACCGCTCTATGCCGCCGTTTTTGCATGCCGAAAAGGGCTCATGATGTTGGCTGACAACCCCCCCCCCCCCACATACTGTGGACGGACGAAATCCTGCACCACCTAAGAGACCATGGAATGATCATTTCCCCCTGTAAATACCAGCAAACAATGGCTTTTCCTGGTACCAAAGTGGTGCAGGATTTTGTCCATCCATAGTAGGTCGCACGGAAGTCATGTAACATCCCAATCCAACCACTAAAATAGGCTCTAGAATGGGTGGTGAATTCACCTACCAACCAACATGGGATCCCAAAACGGTTTTGACAACCACAGCCATGTCAGCCAAACCTTTCATTTGCTTAAGTCCCCTGGAAAAAACAAAATCCACTAACCAACAGGTGAAAATAACACATATTCACTTCAGCAAATGGAAGCAACCCCCCTGACATAGGTCGCACGTAAGTCATGTGAGGCCAAACGGCATGGATCCGCACAACGCGGCGATGGCATCGGCCAGGTACGCCATGTTCTGCCTCGCCAAGGGCAGGTTGCCGCGACTGTCCGTGAGCCCGGCGACCTTCGCCACCTGCATCCATGTGGGACGAAACTTGCCCCCACGGGTTTGTGTCTTTCCCTGAAGATAGACACAGCCATGGGCCTAAAATGGGTTTAAGTTTGTGTCTTTCCCAAAAAAATAACCACAACATTCCAGGGGTTGATTCCTTGACAAAAATGTTCAACCATCGTTCTTTTCGAAAACCGGATCCGTTTTCCCTTGGTTTCTGAAGGTTCTCTAGAAAGAAGGATTCCTGGAAAGCATGGGGAAGGTACCCCTAGAAACATGGGTTTCATTGGAGAACTCACCAATCGGCTAAAATGAGAGGTGTCTGGGAACTTTGAAGAATGGTGCACAGTCACGGAAAGGTAAAATGGGCCAAACAACAAACAGGAGTTTCCACGTTTCTCCCAGGGGCAGGCCGTCTGAGATTTCTCACAGTTCCCCAAACAGCCTGCAGTGGGGCTTCTCGAATCTCACCGGTTTTGCGAAGGGCCAGATGCGCCCCTCCCGGGGTAGATGTGCTTTTGCCTCTGCTACGCATTGGCCTAGTTGGCTATTGAGTGATGTCTCTCTGCGTAACCGTTTTTGGCTTCAACGTTTTCGCCTGCTGCCATGTCGCAATCAGCATTAAGGCACAACCCTGCACGCCGCATCATCACTATAACTCGGGCAGCATCACTATGGCGTTTGCGAGGGCGCATGACTTTTGGCAGTTGGCTGCCCAGAGGGGTGCGCGGCAAAAACTGTGCTGCCATCGCTGTGTACATAACGACGCTCTAGTCGCTGTTTGGCACTTTGTGTCATGCCAACTGTAGCATTGTCACGCGGCGTTCATCCGGATGGTGCTGCCTGCGTCGCAATGATGCTGCTTGCGTCGTGATGGCTCCGATTGCATCACTATCGCCCTGCTTTCATCTTTGCAATGTTGCCTACATAGCCAAGATGCTGCTTGTGTCATGATCGTGCTTCCTGCATCCTTTTGATACTGCGCCCATCCCAATCAAATCGTTTCGAAGGGTGGATGCGAGAAGGAGGCTGCCATGGAGTCCCGGCGGAAAGTGGGACATTGTAGGAGCTCTTTCCACGTTTTTCTACATTGCTGCCAGTGTGTCCAAAATGTTGCGCTTCAGGTGTCCGACAAGATGGTGCGCAGCAGACGGGGGGCGAGATTGAAATGTAAAACACAACTTGGCTGTGACGAGACTTTGGTCTTGAAGAGGTCCATGTACACATGGGTTTGACCCCATGGGTGGCTTTCGCATATTCCCCCCCACTCCAATAACAAAAAAAAAAAGAAAAACAACACCTGGCTTCCTCTTGCCAAGCAACCCCCCCCCCAACCAAAAAAAAACAAACGACACCTAGCTTCCTCTTGCTAAGCAACCCCCTCCCAAAAAAAAACTAAGCAACAACCCCCCCCCAAAAAAAAAAAAAAAGACGAGAGTTTGCTAAGCACCCCCCCCCTTCCCCCCAAAAAAAACCAAGCAACGGCGCCTCCCACCCCCTCCCCCCAAAAAAAAGCAACCACCCCCACCCTCCCCCCCCTCTCCCCCCCCCCCTCCCCCCCTCCCCCCCCTCCCCCCCAACAAAACACGAGCCGTTTTGTTTTTCCCCCCCGGCCAAACCGAGCTGCGGCGAAGAAGGTGCCGGAGGAGTCCAACAGGTCCGTGTAGCAGAAGGTGAGCACCGCGCCCCAGAAGGTGGCGGCCTTCTCCTTACGACAAGCCCAAAGCCCTTCTTGACGTTGGGAGGGGAGCAAAAGAATATGTTATTTTATTTGCTTTTATTTTTATTTTAAAAAACAAAAACAACTTTTAGCAGTTAGGTGGTTGGAATTGATTTCAACCACGAAACCACGACAAGCAAAAGATGGGAAAAAAGAAAAACGTGTTTCCGAACAACAACCATGCCTTGGTGGCACCTGGACCCTCGATCTACCCTGAACAAATGGTTGCTGCAACGACCCCCCCTGCAACCATTTTTTCTCCACTTTTGGGGGGTTTAGTGGAACACACCTTTACAAGAAAATGGCTTTCCACGTTTTTGTGGGTTTAGTGCGGAAAACACTCAAAGGAGAGGGAAACACAGTTTTCTCAACAACGGGGGAACCCGGGACCTTAAAAGGAACGAACCCCGCCGTGACTGCGACCACTCCCTTAACCTTGTGGCAGCGCGTACAACGCGCTCTTTTTCTTGAGCCAAATGACAACATGCGGACATGTTGTCCAGTCTTGCAACTTGTGTCATGGGTACCTACCTCATGAACCTCTGGGCCACAAATGTCATCGTGATAATTGACTCCCCCCTCATTGACGGCACTGAGGGAGTGTCTTGGGCGCATTACCACGCCAACTTGAAGTCAAGTTTACATCACAACGACTGACGCAAGTTATTCAAGCATCGCCCAGTCACTTGTATACTTTTGGAAATTTTGCGGACATGCTGCAGCGCACTAGGCAGCTGCTTTAGCGGACGTGCTTCTACGAATGTCTTCAAGCTTCTCTGGAAGGTCAACACGAATGCCGAGCAACCGGATGGCATGGTCCCACTTGTTGGGTGGAAGTGCTTTCGTGAAGATGTCTGCTGACTGCATGTCGGTTTGGACGTATTCTATCGAGATGTGTTCGCTTTCAAGCTGCTCTGCGATGCACGCGAGGTTCACCTTGTGGGTGCGTTGGACACAGCGTAGCTTGGATGAGAAACCTTTCTTTGCTACGAGGATTGTCGCCTGATTGTCCTCGTGGATCTTGAGATGGAATGGTCTGTCCAAGATCAGCTCCCATAAGCTGAGCGCAGGAAGCGCCTCCTGGTACAGGGAGTACGCAAGAGATACGATCTCCGCCTCGGTTGTCGATCGGGAGACCGAAGTCTGCCTTTTAGACACCCACGCGAGGGGGAAATGCGTATGCGGACCACTCAAAGTCAAGAAGCCTCCGGACGTTGATTTTGCGTCTCGTTCTCCAGCGAAATCGGCGTCCACATAGAGAGACAGATGCAACTCATCAGTCGGCGAATCCTGAACTGTGCCAACTAGCGTGCTGTTAACCGTGCTGTTTATGTAGCAGACAAGCCTATGTAGCTGCTTATCGCAGTTCCTAGACCATTTCTGAACAAAAGAGGCAAGGTCGCCAATGGGCTTGACCAGGTCTGGGCGTGCCAAACGGCCGAGCCACAAGGCTTTCATCAACACGCGGCAAGCGGCGAAGCCTAGCTCACCCTCCAAGGCGTCATCTGCCGGGTCTAGAGATCCAGCGGGACAGAATGGAGTGGTGGCATCACGCAACTTTTCAGTTTTTAGCTGTGCAACCTCAAGATATAATGCAACCGTTTGACGAGCATAATCTCGCATGTCGAACGCCATGCCCCCTTTCAATCTGCCCATTGCGGCATTAAGATCGGGTTCAGTTGGGTCCTTTGGAGCATCTATCAAAAGGTGATTCCTGCCTAGCACCCGATATATGTCTTCTGGGGGTTCTATATCAACCAGTCTTGTTAACTTTTCCCAGAAGTCTTTATGAAGGTGGCTGGGGCCGGCCAACGTCAAGTCGTCGACGTATGTCGAGAGAAGTAACCCGGACTCCTTGAACCAGAAGTTTCCAGGAAACTCTGCGACCTCACGCCCTCCAAGTTCACTAATGAAACCTTTGAGGTGTGCCTCCCAGAGTCCGCCAGCGTCAGGATGCCCATAAAGAGCTTTAACGAGCAAAACCACAGGTTTCACGAAACGCTCGCGCCACCACCTTGGCCGGAGCTCAGGCGGGAGTGTGATCCAAGTTTGGTACTTGGATTTCAGCAGTGCTTGCACATAAGCCTTTATAGCGTCCGCTGTTGTGGTGGAATTCCCTGGCAGGGATCCATAAGCGAGACAGTTATTAAGACCTTGTACGCTCGTGGGATTTGCTCCCAATTCTTGGTAGACAGCTGCTGCGCCATGTTCGTCTTTCGCACAGTCTCCGCGATACACAATCCTACCTTTCATCTTTTGAAGGTGTTTCGCGAGTTCGGCGAACTTGACGGATGCTAGCGACATCAACTGCCCGAAATGAACTTTTATACTGGATCGTCGCGCCTCAGCAGCGACTTGATCATACTCTCGGACTGAATTTAGATCCCAGACACCGGCCTTCTCCAGGCCTGTGGCTTCAAGTCGAACGGCTTCAAGGGCTTCCGGGGAAGCCAACATTTCGGCACGTGACAAGAGTCTGGTCACCATTGCGGTGATTTCAGGATCCTTCTCTTCCTTGACTTGTCCTAGGGAATGTGCGATGAGATTTTCAACATCAAGAACTTGTTCAAGGATGTCGTGACACTTTTCATCGGACTCAACAGCAATACCTATATCTTCCAAACCAGAGAGAGGGGATATGTGTTTTAGCTGCTGTTCACGTTCCCGGTGATCGAGAGGCAATGGCACTTGGACAGGCATCGCAGGCACAACGGGTTGAACTGTCGGATACAGCGCACGGGCAACTGTGAGACACATGCCTTCGGGGTAGAAAGCGGTCTTTGCGGTCTTGTTACCTGCTGCAAGCGAGTGTTTATACCCTTTTTCGTGCGGACACTTGAACGCACTTAGTGCGGATGCGAGGGTGCTATTGCTGGTCATGACTTTCCATGGCTTTTTGATGGGATAACCATTGCTGCCCTTCAGACCTAGGGCGCAACCGTGGAAGGTCGCTGGGGTGAAGCCCTGTGCGTATTCCCTAAAGAATGCAGAAACATCATCCCTAGCCCAGCTGTCGCAATCCCTTGGCCACTCAAACGAAACACTACCCCCCTGATGGAGGACAGTCTCAGCGTGACGTCTGAATCTGGAGAACAACTCTCTCGACTCTCTAACCTTTTGCTTCAGTTTCTTTTTGAACTGGCTTCCTAACTTGGCCTTATTAAGGCGTTGCCATGCTGAACCTGATGTGCAGGGGATTGCAGCCCAGAGATTGGGTTTATCACAACCTTCTATCTGCGACTGCAACTGGATTTCTCCCTCATCTGTGCTAAGGTCGATAAACTCTTTAGCCAGCCTAACATGAGGTATGCCAAGACCTTCAAACACGCGACCCATATTGGACTCTGGTGAACATGCGTATTCGAACATCACAGGCAACTTGTCAATGCGTGCCTGTCGCTTGCGGGCACGATGATTTCCAACCTCAAACTGCTTGCGCTGTGGAGCTTCAACCTCTGCGCTGCATGGCATGCCAAAAATTGGCAATGTGTTCGGACGACCGTTCTTTGACGCTTCGGTGAGAGGTGTCGGCGGTACGGAGTCTAACATCACGGCTGCACCTGTGGTGATAACACAATCGGACTGAATGGGTTTTAACTTGAACACTGTGAACCCGGTCCATGGATCTCCAAGTGAGCGATTAGGTCTGCTACCAAACCAACCATCGTGAATGTTGTCTGCTTTGCCCCCCTGAAACACGGCACGAGTGGTGCGAGCTGCAGTAAATCTTTCTGGGGAAACGGGGCAATCCTCGACCTCCTTTGGGGTAAAAAGATTCTGCCTTGGCATGATATGGTATCGAACCAAACAGTTGGCATTTTCTTTGAACACCCAAAAATCTTCACCTTGCGATGTAGCGGCTGTCGCTGGCGCGGTATCGAAAAATGAGGCACCGGGTCTTGAGGGAGCGGGCTCCCCAGCTTCGGCTGCATCAAATTCATGCGCAACGTCTTCCGCACTAACTGCGATTTTAGGATCCTCCTCATGCTCGGATGCGTGGATTGCTCTGGCTAGCTCCTTATCCCCTTCAGTATGAACAATGGGAATGGGTTCCTTAGATTCAGTTTTGGCAGCGCTTTTTGCAGCTGCTTCAGCTCGATCTGCAGAAACAAGTTCGGAGAAGCTCTTCTTGCATTCGGCACTGTGAATCTTGGAATGACCGGTGCATGCACGACAACCTGGCGTTTCCTTGAACTTGATGATTCTCTCAACAGTTATGTACACGGATTTTGACTTGACAGCGGATGGAGTCGGCGGGGCCCCAAAGGGCGCCTCTCGCAGGGGCAAAGTTGGGGGATCTGACCCGTCTGTCTTGCCTCCATGCAATGCTCTATCTGCTGCTGCTGCGATCGGAAAGCTTGGGGGTCCGTCCTCAACGAACAATTCCGGTTCAGGAACATCGTGAACGGAAATGGAACCGTCTTTACGGAAGGCTTCATAGTCCATGACTTTGACCACGTTACGGTACCGCAACCCCGGATCGACCCTCCAACCCAAAAAGAGCGCTGGCGCCATGTTCGGATCGAGAGCGCGCTTGCCAGGAGTCTTGGTTCTGTACCAAACCAATTGCCCGAAACAGCATCTCTTCCCTTGGAACTTTTCCTTTGTGAGAGCTTCCCATTGGGTTTTACCGGGGCTGAATGGAGCAGGCCTGTCGAACGACATGGAGAGGCATGCAAATGGGTAGCTAAACGTATGCAACGAATAGGGCAACCCTGATTGCAAGTGGATGCTGCGACAGCATTCCTTCTCTTCGCGAATGTCGCGCTCCAGGACGGTGTTGTGAGGCCACCTATTGGGCAAGCTTGTCTCTGGGACGAGACCGACTTCATGGGCCGCTCCTTCGAGCTCTCCTGCTGCATCCATTTTTATTAGACATGCTGGCGGCGAATCAGTGGCCCGAAGGCCCATGAACTGACGGAAGTTTTTAACATGCGCTTGCGTGTCCCGCCTACTCACAGGGTATGCAAGGCGAACGCCTGAGAAAA